ACCCGGGTAGTAAATTTGGACTCGTCCCAGCCCTAATGTTGAATGTTATTTTCAATCTTACAACCATATTTGTCTTGACAAAAACACAAACAATTTGAGGGATCTAGTCTCATCTGTTTGCACTACTGACACAGGGTTTTAAGCAAACAATCAATAAATCCATAAACGATGAAAAAAAACAGACTTTACTGTACAAATAGTAGACAACCGCATGATAAACAGAATTGGATATATATATATATATCCCCCTAAACTGACAGACCCAAACAAATTCTACTCAAAAAAAGTTAAGGATTACACGACTCTTTCATATTACTATAGTTAATCTGTCATGGCATTACTTCTTTTGAGTAGTATAGTTCATGACCGATTAACAACGTTAATTATAGTAATACGAAATAATCGGGTAATCCTAAACTTCTTTGAGTAGTATATTTATGACATATTTTTTAAACAGAGCTCCACAAATCTGTTTTTATTTTAACCTTCCCAAGATAATGCTAATGAATCTATGAACCATAACAACAACAAAATATGGCCTGAGGTGAAAGATGATGCACACAAGCCTATGGCGAACATACATTAATTCAATGCAGTGAGGGATTATTATCATGATCGTTATCATTCTGCAAAGATCACGGGAACACTTCCTGCTGACAGTATCTCCACACAGCAGCTTTCCTCACTCATATGACATGACGTCATGCGGACACTACAATCAATCACTTCATCTGGCTTGGAGCATATAATGAAGTCTGTCCTACAAGACATGTATTCTATAGAACATTCATCATCAATACTTCACAGTGAGTGAGTGAGTGAGTGAGTTGGGTTTAACGCCGCTTTTAACATTATTCCAGTTATATCACGGCGTGTCAGCTTAATGTGGGAGGAAAGCCCGAAGTGATGCAGGTCTTAGACGTTTACCACTTCGGTGAAACCCAAGAGCACGGGTATGGTGCTGACAAACCTAGAAACATTATCGGGGTGAAACGGGATTCGAACCCACAATCATAGGTTTCTGGCCTGTCCAGGGGACGTAACTCTGCACAGCGAATCGCGGCGCCTTAGACGACTGGGCCACCCGTGCCCCCCAATACTTCACAGAGTTCATATGCACATTGCTCCAACATGGCATGTGAAACTGTTCAGCATTGACCATGTTCACTATGGGAAATGTACTGTACTGCTTCTTGGAGAACTCATTTTCACAGCTTTAGTGTAATCCAAATACCTAGTGTCCCTAGCTCTTACCCACCCATGAAGATCTGGGGCAGAATAGGTCTTCAGCAACCCATGCTTGCCGTAAAAGGAGACTATGCTTATCGTAAGAGGCAAGTAACACGTTGTGTGGTCAGGCTTCTAACTTGGTTGATGCATGTTATAGTATCCCAATTGTTTAGATCGATGCTCATGATGTCAATCACTTGATTGTCTGGTCCAGACATGATTATTTACAGACCGCTGTCATATAGCTTGAATATTGCTGAGTGCAGCGTTAAACAACAAACAACAAACTAACAAACAAATCTTGCTCACCCAGTCCCCACAGCAGATGCATAAACTGGGGTAGACACCATGCGTTGATACAACAAGTCAAGAGCCGGTTTTACCTCAGTCAGCTCAGCAACATACAAGTACTTTCTGGTTACCACTTGTCTCAGACAACAAGACAGTCAGAGTGAGTTGAGTTTTATGCTGCTTTGAACAGCATATCACATGATATCAGAGATGTCACGGCGTGTCAGCTTAATGTTGGAGGAAAACTTGAAGTGATGCAGGTCTCAGACTTTACCACTTTGGTGAAACCCAATACATCAGCCTAGATACATCATCAGGGCAACCAGGATGTGAACTACAATAATACATATGTAGCATTTCTGAGGCAAGCAACTTTGAACCGTGTATTGGGCTGCTTTAAACCACAGGGCCACCCTCAGTATTTCATTAAGAGTGAGTGAGTGAGTGAGTGAGTGAGTGAGTGGGTGGGTGGGTGGGTGAGTGAGTGAGTGAGTGAGTGAGTGAGTGAGTGAGAGTGAGTGAGTGAGTGAGTGAGTGAGTGAGTGAGTGAGTGAGTGAGTGAGTGAGGTTTTACGCCACTTTTAGCAATACTCCAGCAAATATCAAGGCGGGAGACACCAGAAATTGTCTTCACACATTGTACCATTTGGAGAATCGAACCCGGGTCTTCGGCATAACAAGTTAACGCCTCAACCACTAGGCTACCCACCACCCCCACTAATACAGAACTCACAGAGGTCAATGAGTGCATTCATCAATATTCCAGCTGTAGCACAGTGACCTGCTGACAGTCTGGGTCAGGCCCGCGATGATGAGTAAGGAAGAAGGCATTCAGGGTAGGATGAGCCACACAGCCAGGCTACACGGTCAGACACCAGGGAGAACCGATGTCTGTCGTAACCCACCAAAGTACATAGGCCATCTATAGCTACTCAACACGTAGTGAACTTACGACAATACTTATCACATCAATAGTGTGACCTTTAATGACCTCAAATACTTTTTAATATTCATTTTCATCACTGTACTCAAAACAAATCATTCCAGCCCCTTGTGGTTTACGTGAAGTAATAAGAGCTGGGGAACAAAATGGTCCCTCGAGATAATCACTCATCTCCTGCTAACGCGTAGCGGTGTCAATCTATGCGAAGTACTATGGCGCTAAGTGGAGTTAAAATTGATTTCAGTGAGAAAGATTTTAAGCACCTTTTAGCAATATTCCAAATTATCACGGCGAGGGACACCATAAATGGGCTTCACACATTGATAAAACATCATGATGTAATTTCTGGGGATTTGAACATGCACGTACAACCTGACATGCTTCATGACATAGTAAATTGGACGTTATATACGAGAGGGCAGTTGAGTACGTTTGAGTTCAAAAGACATCTACTTTTTTTCCATTTTGATGTTTGTGAGAATACAGAGGAAATACCAAACTAAACTCTCCTGTTCGTAAAATGGACTTGTCCGACACTGCCGAGATCAAATCATATTCAGGGAGTCATTGTTCTTTAAATACGGGTAAATATTTTAAAAGCTTGTAAATTTGACTAAGATCCTTCAAGATGCTGTAAACAATGTTGATATCCCATATGAGAGATTTATGATGTGTAGTCGTTGTTTATTATAAGGATAAAACAAGACTCAAAGGTTTGGGTCGAAAATGTAAAACAGCGAGCAAGGGAAAAGCTGAACAGTGTTCCAGTTATATCGCTGCGTGTCAGCTTAATGTGGGAGGACAGCCCAAAGTGATGCAGGTCTCAGACGTTTACCACTTTGGTGAAACCAACAAGCATGAATATGGTGCTGACAAACCTAGAAACATAATCTGGGCAGACCGAGATTCGAACCAACAATCACAGATTTCTGGCCTGGCCAAGGGACACAACGCTGCATAGTGACTCAGACAAGCATTTCATTAACATTGAGAGAGTACTTTTAAAGGTACTTCCATTAATCATGGTGTGTCAGCTTCGTGTGGATGGAAAGCCCTGCAGGCCATAGACACATACTACTGTAGGTAACCATGGAAACAGCATGAGCATGCTGATAACACAACTTCATGCTCTGACAAAACTTACATAGTTCCACAAACTGTTATCAGCAAATCATGAGCTTACTTCCTTTAATGCCTAAAGCCACGCAAATAATGTCAAGACTTTGACATGGACATCCACATGTACTTGTGCTGAGGAGTGACTGAATTAGCAGATAAAACTACTGTGTTTCCAGTGTTGTGGAGATTACCTGTAGATTTAACAGTGTAAAATTAAACCAAACATTGAGCGTGAACTCTTGGTGTTTGGAATTTGATATCGATATTGAGTCACGTACCAACAGTTGAGTCCCAAGTTTTGAGTGGGTTGTTGAGCTGAATACGGAAACACGATACTAGCCATTTAACAAAGGTTGAATATGCTGAAACATTGTTTGTTTACATCACCCATACAAAACAAGCATTGAAAGTGTGCAGCACAGCGACTGCAGTGTGAATTGGGTGCCCCTAAAGAAGAAATAAGCAAGCCTCTCATGTTTTAGTTTCACACTATGAATCACTATCAGTATCGTGATGTCACACCGCTCATTGTGACTCAGGAAATAGGACATCAGCTGGCCATAGAAGTGTAAGATTTCAAGCTTGCTGTGGTCCCTAAAACTTAAAATACATTCTCTTTGTAGATTCCTATCATGTTTACTACCCAAACTGTAGTGCCACACATAATTTGATAACTGTAGTAACCGAAAATCTGCATTTTGTAACATATGAGTGTACATATTATTTAAAACAATGATGAAAAGAACTAGGACTTTTCAATAAATATAAGCATCTGTGGTTGATGTGGCCGTCAAATCAGCTACTTCAATCAGAGATGGTTGTTGTGATTTGATACCTCTGACTGACCAATCAAATCACTTATATCATGGCTGACTGAATAATGAAGTCTGAGACAGGCCCACCAGGTGATCAGTGGTATGAACAATTCTCCATAGTCAGGGCACAATGACACAATATCAGCCAGGTTATTGTAGCCAGTCAATTCTCGGTGCTGACTCTAATACACATAGGGCTCTGAGAACCTACTCTCCCCTAGAATCCTTACAGGGATGGGAGTGTGAGTGTGAGTGTGAGTGTGAGTTTACACCGCTTTTAGCAATATTCCAGCAATATCACAGGGGGGGACACCAGAAATGGGCTTCACACATTGTACCCATGTCGGGAATCGAACCCGGGTCTTCGGCGTGACGAGCGAACGCTTTAACCGCAAGGCTACCCGACCCTTTACCACTTTGGTGAAACCCAATACATAAAATACTGGAAAACATTACTTCACAAATATATTTCATTTTAGGCTTAAGAAAATAAAAGAATTGGTTCTGAGGCAATGACTTTTGAAAATATAGTGTGGGCAGGCTGTGTTTGTTTTGTTTTTTTGCTTGTTCACACTGGTATGTAACCAAACAAACAGTTGTGTCCCATCAACCTGGGAAATAGCCTCCTTAAATAAACAAACATTCAAACTCCTATCGCTGCCATGACCATAACAGGAGATGTGCAGTAAAGTAGTGCACATGTAAAGGGAAGTAACTGCATGCTATATTGGATAGCATTGTTTTTTAAGTCTTAGGGTTTTTTAATCGTTTTTGAAAATGGAAATAAAAATGAAACGTGCAGCGGACTTTATGATGATGTGGGCGGTGCCCGAGAACCAAGACTATCATTTTGGGGGGCCTTAAGATCCAATAATCCAATACTTGAGTTCATGTTGCCAAGTCATTTGTCACAATGGAAATCACAAAAGTAACCGTGTCTATTCTAACGCTTTGATAGTTAGTCATCAGAAGGCTTCAGGAATTGTCTCCCTTGCTTCTCCGGGCTTGGTCCAGCTCCCTCGTCAACAGGCTGCTTTTGTTTCCTTTTCTTTGTAAACTTTTTGGCGATTATACCAACCAGAGATTTATACCTGAAAATATTATATTGAGTATTGTAGTATATTTTCTAAATGAACAGACTGTGAACATTGACGATAATAATGATTATTATTATTCAGGTCCACTGTTTCAGAATAACCTGTCAAAGTACAATATGATTTTATGACTCTTCTTACATTTTGCCTCAGTTACACTGGACATAGTAAGATTGGTAAACAATCTTTGGACCATCTTGACTGTTACTTTCTCCAATGATTTGATTACTATTTTAACACTATTTAAGGTGAGGTGAAATGGGGTTTAACGTCGCGTCCAAGATTATTGCACTTATATGGCGACGTGCATGTACGTGTGTGTGGCTGCTTGTACTAGTCCGGGCTGATGCCGATTTATAGTGCTAGCTCACTGAGATACCATGCCGCAGTTTAACATGAATACCCCACTCAGACACAGTATACTGACTCCGAGCCGACCAGTCCTTGTTTTAGCCTCTTAATGCCGAGCGCCAGACAGGGTAACAACAAGTACCGTCTTTTAACGTCTTTTGGTATGACGCGGGCGGGGATCGAACCCCGGACCTTCCGCTCTCCGGGCGGACGCTCTACCACTAGACCACGGAGGCGGTCTAACACTATTTAAGCGTAACACACTTTAAAACCAAATATAACATTGCTACACGTTAAATCGCAAAGAGCAACGAAGAACGAAGCATGGTTTATTCCATGATAAAACATCATTCAATCGTGACGTCATTTCTGGAGCTTCGAATATGCGCTTACAACTTGATGACGTTATATATTGGACAACGTTATTTTTTTAGAGGGAAGTGCATGTCTAGTAAGCTATTCCCCATAGATGTAGCTGGAATACGCAGATAAATGCAAAGGCTGAACAATCGCATCCAAAAGTGGGAGAGATATGACAATCAGTTCAAGAGAAAAGGTACAGATGATCGACATGAGGATTGTGAGAATATGCGGTAAACGCCAAACTTAACCCACCTGTTCATTAAATGGACTTGTCCGACATTGCTGAGGTCGGACTCTATTCAGGGAATCATCATTATTGAAACTAAGGTAACTATTTTTAAAGCTTGTACATTTTAATCAACATTCTTAAAGAGGTCTTTGAAGGGCATTTAAAAGTGATACACATAAGGAAGAGAATATCTGTTTTGTGTGACAAATATAATACACTGACATGGTTTAGTGTTACAGTCTAAGAACATATTTCTACTGTCAATACCTTTCTGCCATTTCATCCTGAGAGACGTGAGTTTCCCTCTCTCTCTCCTCAGCAGCATCTAGTTCCATCTGTGTATTGTGAATCGCCATCAGCTTCTGTGGACGTTACATGACTATTAACACATTGCCAGTATGATGTGGTCTTTGTCAATCTCACTGAAATCAGATCTTAGTTCTCGCTATCGCTAACAAAGATCTGAGGACATCCCAATACGGGTCATGTCAGAACGACCTTTCATCCGGCCAATCAGAGCGTCGCTTACCAGATCATGAAAGTGACAGACGGAATGTGTTTTTTAATCATGCAACCTCGAAATACTTAACAGAGGGTATTCAGAACGACAGTTACGGGTTTTATGATTATATCCATACAATCTAGGTCACCTACAAGACATTCCAGAATGTTCTCTTTATCAGTTTTAAAATGTTTAATCGAAAATACCTCAAAATTTGTTTCGAAGCGTTGTCGCCAGTTTGAAACTAGTGTCATAAAGCTGGAGAAAGCTGCCTTCTGATTGGCTAATGTCGATTTCTTGTCAGTCATTTCATTGATCGGTCAGAGTTCGCGAAAGGTCGTTGTGACGTGACTCGTAATGGGATGTCCTCAGATCTTTGTTTAGCGGTAGCGAAAACTAAGAACTGATTTTAATGAGATTAGGTCTTTGTCCAACAATGTGCTCAGTACAAAATAGTTCTACAGTGTTGTCGTATATCAGGAATTATGTCAGAATCTTTTGTTTGTGTTTTAGTTGTAAACTGTCTGCAGGCCAAACCTGAAGTAAGTGAGTGAGTGAGTTTGGGTTTAATGCTGCTTTGAACAGTATTCCAGTTATATCACGGCATGTCAACTTGACGTGGGAGGAAAGCCCTATGTAATGCAGGTTTGAAATGTTTACCACTTTGGTGGAACCAACAAGCATGGGTATGGAGCTGACAAATCTCGTGACATAATCGGGGCGAACCAGGATTCGAATCCATGATCCAAGAGACACAACTCTGCACAGTGAATTGCGGTGCCTAAGACGACTGGGCAACCCGTGCCCCTAAAACCTAGGAATAAACATGATAAAAAGAAGGGCTACAGAAAGAAACAACAAGAATTGATTTGTAGGATTTTGAAAAGGAAGGTTTTAATGTTTATTCTTGGTTACCCGGTAAGCTGAAATTTGTAAAAGCAGTTGGCAATAACAATCATGAGAATCACGGTTTAAAAAATTGTCACATCAGTACCAGTAGTTGTTGGTGTCCAAAACTTTTTAGTTTTTTTTCCGATCTTTCCAAAGATTCTACCCCATGCATATCGGCTTTCACAAGCTAAGCCTATGAGATCAGAGGAATTTTACTTGTCTTAGGCTTCAGACTCTTGGTTGATGTCCAGTGAAATAAAATAAATTGCTAGGCTGCCATCAGAACCCACAGACTTTAGAGTTTTAGAGTGAGTGAGTGAGTGAGTGAGTGAGTGAGTGAGTGAGCGAGCGAGCGAGTGGGGTTTAACGCCGCTTTTAACAGTACTCCAGTTATATCACAGCGTGTCAGCGTGTCAGGTCTCAGACGTTTACCACTTCGGTGAAACCCATGAGCACAGGTATGGTGCTGACAAACCTAGAAACATAATCGGGGCGAACATGGATTCGAACCCACAATCATAGGTTTCTGGCGTGCCCAAGGGACGCAACTCTGCACATCGAATCGCGGCGCCTTAGACGACTGGGCCACACGTGCCCCCCCCCAACAGACTTTAGAAGCTGCAGGCCCTAACTAAACTCTTTAGGTCCTCATTATAAAAATGCAGTTCACTGTGACAAATAAATCAACATGTAAATCTACAGCGGCCATAATGACCAATACAAATCTGAAAATATGGTCCCCACACGAGATCAACCTGCCACGGGCCTACTGGACGGGCAGGCATTTATTTCAAACACTGCTGATGTCACAGGCCGCAGTAGAGCTTGGCCAAGTAAACAATTATGTAATCATCATAATCGTGTACAGAATACAGTAAACTACGATTATAACGAACTCAAAGGGACCACTAATTTTAGTTCGTTATAACCGCAGTTCGTAATAAGCACATATACAGCATATATACAACAAATGTCTGGGACCAAAAAGTAAGTTCGTTATATCAGTCAGTTCGTTATAAGCATGTTCGTTATAACCGTAGTTTACTGTATTTCTTTGTATATAAAATTAAATCAAGGGATATTTAAGAAAAATACACAGTAGAATCACAGAATCACCTGCAGCTCAATCTCATTAAAATCGGATCTTAGTTCTCGCTACCGCTAAACAAAGATCTGAGGACATCCCATTACCATGATTACAGGTCACGTCAGACCGACCTTGCGCGAAATTTGACCAACCAATGGAATGACCAATCAGAAGGCAGCTTTCTCATGCTTTATGGCACATATTTCAAATTGGCGACTTCACTTCGAAACATATTTTGACAAATTCTCGATTACAAATTTGAAGCCTGAACAATAAACATTCTGGAATGGCTAACAGATGGTCTAGATTGTAAGGATTCAGTCATTAAACCCGTAACTATCGTTCGGAATACCCCATGTTAAAGTTTTAGAGATCGCATGATTAGAAATCACATTCCGACTGTCACTTTCATAATCTGGTAAGCGACGCACTGATTGGTCGGATGAAAGGTCGTTCTGACGTAACCCCTAATGGGATGTCTTCAGATCTTTGTTTAGCGGTCTGATTTTAATGAGATTGCCTGCAGCTGGTACCACTTGCACAAAACGATCTTAGCACTACAACTATCATAAGTCTATGTTAAGGTTCAGGAGTCGTGATCACCATACCGCTACGATCACTTGGTGCAAGTGGACCTTGATCTAGCATCACTGACGTCATCATACTCCTAACCATGATAATCACAATCTTTTCCACATCAGGCAGCGATAGAAATTGGCACTTGTCCTACAGCCTTTGCCAAACTGCCTAATAGTTAAGGTATCATAAGGACTAGTAGAAACTTACCACTATTAAGGGCTTTGCTACATGTTATCATTATAAGGACTAGTGGACTGAACATGTTAGTTTCTACTTTTGTCAGGATTGTACTCACTTCCACTTCTGGATTAAAACCTTTAAAGGACATTCGGCCGAAGCACAGGTTCTCACACGCAACATAGCTGGGCTGAATATCATAGCGGCTCCTGAAATCAACATACAGATGAGGTGAAATGTTTGTTTGTTGTTTAACGCTGCACTCAGCAATATTCCAACTGTATGACAGCGGTCTGTAAATAATGAGTCTGGACCAGACAATCCAGTGATTGACATTATGAGCATGGATCCAAGCAATTGGGATACGATGACATGCATCAACCAAGTCAGCAAGCCTGACCACCCGATCCCTTCAGTTGCCTTTTACGGCAAGCATGGGTTGCTGAAAACCTATTCTACCCTGGATCTTCATTGGTCTGAGGTGAAATGGGGTTCAAAGTTGCGCCCAGATTATTGCACTTATATAGCGATCTGCATGCATGTGTGTGTGTTTGGCTGCTTGTACTAGTCCGCACTGATGCTGATTTATAGTGCTTGCCCTCTGAGATACCATGCCGCAGTTTAACATGAATACCCCAACATACACAGAATACTGACTCCGAGCCGATCAGTCCTTGTGTAAGCCCCTTAATGCCGAGCGCCAAACAGGGTAACAACAAGTCTTTTAACATCTTTTGGTATGACGCGGCCGGGGATTGAAACGCAAACCTTCCGCTCTCCGGATAGTTGCTCTACCATAAGACCATATATGGAGGCGTTCAAATCAACTTACAATTTATCAATACAATTTAGTTGACAAATGTTCTTTGTTTGTTTCTTCTTTAATGTCCCACTTACCAATATTCCACCTATATGACATTGGCCTGTAGAACACATGTAGTACCTAGGCTTATACTTTTCAAATGCTTTATGCATGTTAGGGGCTACTGTAATAATCTATTTAACACTGATATGGATACTGCCATGGTTTTGTGACTATGAGACTGGTTTGAGAAAAGATGTGTATCTACCTGGTCTACATATTGCTAAGACTGTAACAGTCCAGCTATGTCACTCCAGCCATGGTTACTAACTTGATCTAGGCTAGGCCAAACCAGTGGTTGACAGCATGAGCAACAGTCGATACCAATGGCAACTGCACCACATGCACTACAGTAAGCAGTATATTTGTGGAACTTACTGTTTCTTTGGAAGTGGGGGGACATCCATCACCCAGTGCTCGTCATCGATGGCTCGGTTATTCTCTTCTTCATTCTGTTCATTCTCGATACGGAGAACACTCCTCTGCATAAACTGCAACACAGCCTCACAATTATTGATCATCATGTTCTATGGCCTTATTTTCATAACTTGCCTGGTCATTCTAGCCCACAATCATAGGTTTCTGGCATGCCCAAGGGATGCAACTCTGCACAAGGAAACGCTGCGCCTTAGACGACTGGGCTACCCGTGTCCCCAGGTCAGATTGTCTTCCCCACTAGTTGGTTGGTTTGTTGTTTAATGCCACACTCAGCAATATTCCAGCTATATGACGGCGGTCTGTAAATAATCCAGTGATTGATATCATGAGCATCGATCCATGCAATTGGGATCGATGACATGCATCAACCCGGTCAGTGAGCCCGACCACCCGAACCCATTAGTCGCCTCATACAACAAGCCCAGTCGCTTTTATTCTGTTCAGAGGAGTATGATTCATTGACATGAAAGTCAGATGTACCCACACTAATTACCGGTACCAAAGGGTCCCTATTCAGGCATGTTAGGTGTCAGTTTGCTATAGCTACTGGTCAGACCCAAAGTCAAAGAAGAATCATATGACCTTTTCAGAGACTTTTTACTTAAATACGAAATTACATTAGTTAGCATTTTGAAATAAATTAAATAACACTTTATAACATGTTTATGGGAACGTAACTTATTATCATTTATCAAAATGTTTTTGTTTCAGTCCATCCCCTGGATGAAAGTTGGTTCTGTTTTTTTCACAATGTGTTGTAAATAAAATATTGTGTTTCTTTTATACATTTTCTTCCTGTGCCACAATTCAGTATGGCAATGACTTCGTTGATGAAAGGAGTGGTAATAGATTTCATTCAGAACAATTCTATTAACATGATTAATGTACTATGAAAACATGTATACACAACAATACTTTCCAATTAGCAGTTTATGTCAGCAGGGACCATAACTTATTTTATGGCCTCTGGTGTCAGGCTTAGCGAGGTGTCAAACTAACCTAACCTATCCAACATGGATACAAAATACTTTGGTAGAGTGAGTGAGTTGGGTTTAACGCCACTTTGAACCATATGCGAGTCATATCACGGCGTGTCAGCTTAATGTGGGAGGAAAGCCCGAAGTGATGCAGGTCTCAGACGTTTACCACTTCGGTGAAACCCACGAGCACGGGTATGGTGCTGACAAACCTAGAAACATAATCGGGGCGAACCAGGATTCGAACCCACAATCATAGGTTTCTGGCGTGCCCAAGGGACGCAACCCTGCGCAGCGAATCGCGGCGTCTTAGACGACTGGGCCACCCGTGCCCCCTACTTTGGTAGATGGTGCCGTAACGTCATGGCACCCCAATGCAATGGCATCATGTTCTAGGTGAAAGTTATCCTTACCTTCATTTGTAGCACATTTTTTGACAGTTTTGTTGGATTGGTACTATTTTGTTCATTTGCCATTTTCGAATAGTGATAAAGTGCTGTACAGGGGCAGAAACATTGGCTACAAATCTATAACAACGTCTCTCTTGTCCGTGGTTGTTTATATTTCGAGAACACGTGCTTCCGGTTATTCCCTTTCCGGATGAAAGGGAGCATTCATTTATGTAGAAGAATTTGCAAAGACTTTTTACGGTAATATACTCGCAATGTAAGAAAACAATAGCAGTAGTGTTACTTTTTGCCATATAATGCACCGAAGTAATACACACGTAAGTTGTAATTGTTTTTGTTAGTGTCTTTGTTAATTAGACTACCAATAAATGTTATATACAGTAAAAGGTCCAAATGTGTTTTTACGGCGCGAATGGAGGAAAGTAATTTGTCACATGTCACATACCAAAATATACTGCGAAATGTAACTCAAAGATTTGAAGACAAGCTAATATTTGAAGAGAAATGCACAAGCCTCCCCAAGTAACAACTGCCACAGTGAGTTCGTAGAAGTGAAAGTAAAAGTACCGTTGCTGAAACTGTCACCCGGCTTTCTCCAAGCTTGGTCTATTCCACATTGCGCCAAACTGAGCTCATATCGTGCATGTGTCAGATGTAAACACTAGCAAACATGACGAATACGGCAGTAGCAGGTGTAGTATCACTGAATATGGTATTGTCACAAAGACTTTATTTCGATTTATTCTTTTAATGCAACACTTGATATCAATAAAGATTCTTGTGTTCAAACTTACGTAAATTACACATGACACGTAGCAGGCTGGAGTAAACGTCTTTCGCATGTTTTGGTCAAGTGAAGATGTTACTTTGGACATCTGTTTGAAAAATTATTTAGTTTGGGTATGTGATGTTTGTTTTACCAGTTGTCGGGCTAACAATCCGAAGGTTGAATGTGGAGACCAACAGATTCACACAAAAACTGGTTGCTTGTCTTAGTCACATGTGACCTACTGAAGAGATACTCGCGAGAGTTTTTGGTGCTGAATTATAAACGTGCTACAATGGATTTGACTCTATTTATTTAGTATATGTCTTTTTCCCATTCACTCACTTAATAGTAAGGGGCATTGGGGTAGCCTAGTGGTTAGAAGGGCATTCCAGGGCATTTCCTGGATGAAAGCCATTTGTGGCGTCTCTTGCCCAAATATTGTTTGAATGTTGCTCTATATGATGTAAATCATTCTCATTTTCTTGATGAGCTTGAAAAGTAACAGTTCTATGCTGGAGGTGTTTTTCTGAACTATTTGTCAAATTACATTATCATTATATTTGGTTTGTTATTATGTTTCAGCAACATGACAATGAACAACATGGGAGACAACTGGCAAGATATTACAATCACAGAGGTGGGTCAAGTGTCTTTCATGCAGTTTATCCTAAATATATTAAGGAACTACATTTTCTACATATCAAACTCCCCACTCCAATAGGAGCCAACAGATAATCTTCTAGACCAATCTGAAAGTAATATTGATATGTTCCCTTTACTCAGCCCTAAACTTTACATGAGTGAGTGAGTGAGTTGGGTTTAACGCCGCTTTTAACAGTATTCCAGTTATACCACGGCGTGTCAGCTTAATGTGGGAGGAAAGCCCGAAGTGATGCAGGTTTCAGACGTTTACCACTTCAGTGAAACCCACAAGCACGGGTATGATGCTGACAAACCTAGAAACATAATTGGGGCGAACCTGGATTCGAACCCACAATCATAGGTTTCTGGCGTGCCCAAGGGACGTAACACTGCACAGCAAATCGCGGCGCCTTAGACGACTGAGCCACCCGTGGCCCCTAAACTTTACATGATAAAATTGACATTTCATGTTTTCTTGTGTATATCACAGATGTTTCACAGCTGTATAGAAGCTTGTGCTGTTAATACATGCAGACATTGACAATGAGTTTAACTTGTCATGTATAGTGTTAATAACTGCCCTTTTTACAACTTCTTAAGCATCCATAATAGGTTCAAGATATTGGTACATTCGAGATAACAGATCTCGAGATAAGGGGGTCCGACTGATGTTCCAGGGTTCTTTGTTCTTTGTATTAGAGAATCAACTTCTCATGGCAAACTTAAACATCATTTCTTTCTATCCCTGATTTCATTTTGTCCTGTCTTTACAGATGAACATTATGTTGATTGTATACACACGTTAACTAACATTTAGTCCCAGAAATAGTTATCTTATTGAAGAAAATATATCTTCAAAATAAAAAGATAAAATCCAAATGGAGCCCACAACATGAGTTGTAGCATTTGTGATTCTTGCAGATTTGGAGAGATCCCAGAGCTGAGGCAGTCTAGACTTCTTGACCCAATAACTCTGGGGGGCACGGGTGGCCCAGTCGTCTAAGGCGCCGCGATTCGCTGTGCAGAGTTTCGTCCATTGGGCACGCCAGAAACCTATGATTGTGGGTTCAAATCCCGGTTTGCCCCAATTATGTTTCTAGGTTTGTCAGCACCATGCCTGTGCTCCTGTGTTTCACTGAAGTGGTAAACGTCTGAGACCTCCATCACTTTGGGCTTCCTCCCACATTAAGCTGACACGCCGTGATATAACTGGAATACTGTTAAAAGCGGCGTTAAACCCAACTCACTCACTCACTCACCCAATCATTCTGGGCTTGAGGGTCTGGGAGACAGACAATGCACACTCTGAGTCTGACTTGATTGTTCTTGTCCTCCTTCCAGATTACAGATCCTGGCAACTTCCTGGCCAAAGAATGCCCGGGAATGAACATGTCAAAGGAATGTCGCCAGTTCAACAGAATGCAGGATCAGATGAACCAGTTTTTCAGCAATGAGCAAGCCGTGACCACCATTCCACCCCAGCCTTCTGTGGTAGGTGACCCTTCATATCAGCTGTGGGGGTACATGCACCACAACACCAGTACAAGGATGTATCCAGACCTGCTCAGAGGCCAATATTCAGCCCCAAGTCTGAAGCAAATGTCCACAAATATTCCCAAATTGAAATTACAAATTTAATAATTTGTATAGCCTATAGTAGCAACTAATGCCCCTTCTATGTCCCTTCTATTGACTTATCCGATAACACCTCTTATATTACTTGTGTTGCGTCAAGCAAAATGGTGGCGTCAAGATGATCTCATCAATAATCAAGATCTATTTTGTAATAAAAAAGGTCTTTTTCTGCGCAAAGTGCATCAAATCATGTCAGCGGCGTGTTTACGGACATGAAAAGATTTGGAAAATATCTGTTGAAGCCTATTTGGCGGTACACATGCTTTGCAAATCCTGCAATCGACGGTAATTTGCATGCAGTTTACAAACCAGATATCCATTTTGTTAAGCAATGTTGATTGGACTATGCATAGACTAGTCAGTCCAGCCATAATATATCCCTATAATTCCAGCCTAGTTCAGGAGGGTGGAAACTGGACTTTATTGTCAGTTAACTCCCTTGCCTCGGGATGAAGGGCCTCTATATATTCCCTTGTCTCCATGGTCTGTTTGTCAAGTGTCCTTATGCTTCACAACCATGAGGGCCTAAGTAATCTTGTGAATACAGGCGAAACACTGCTCATCAACACAGTGAAGATACAGTAACAGCAGACATGGCGGACATCGCTCCTAAATGCTTAATGAATATGAAACAGTCTATGAGTGTGCAGCAACACTTGGAACCTTTACAATGGATTCATTGACCTGGTCTGTCTCAATTGAATGACATTTTTTGCATTTCCTATTGATTTCATGGAAATCGGTCACATGTCAAGTCAAGTTGATAAAGTTGTTATTATATGCTTATTCCATCATGTTTTTTAACAGCCGAGGTCTACATTCTTAGTGTTGTGGTTTGCCAATCAAAAACATGGTGTTCAACATGTTTATACTATTCAATATACTTTCATGATACATTTTACCTGTTTAGGCTTTGGGTCGACACTCCCATTGATTAATTAGTGAGGTATGGGAAGGGCATATTCTTTCCAGCACTGTCCTTGAATCAGTCGATAGTTTTTCTTTAGACCTCTAAATCTGAAAAAAATATTCTTAAGGCTTAAAAACATAATAGTCTTGGTTCTCAGGCAACACCCGCATCATCATAACGTCCGCCGCACGTTCGTTTTTATCTTAATAATAAATCCTAATACTAAACACTATGTGGTCCAATATAGCACATAGTTACTTCCCATCATATGCATACTACCTTGCTGAGCATCTCGTGTTATGGTAATGGCAGCAATAGGAGTTTGTATGCTTGTTTATGTAGTGAGGCCCTTTCCCAGGTTGATGGTATGCAACTGTTTATTTGGCTAGATACGAGTTTGAAGAAAAAACAAACAAACAAAAAAATGCCGCCCACCCACACTATAGTTTCAAAAGTCATTGCCCGAGACCCAATTATTTTTTATTTTTTTAAGCCTAAATCTAAAACTCTAAAGGTTTTTTCCTTATTAAAGCAATTGAGTAATGAATGAAGCAACTGTGTTTCAGGGGGATGTGTACGCAGGGAAGCGGCAGAGTGACAGACAGTGGTACCGCGTGGAGGTGGAGAGGATCATGCAGACATCCAGGGGACCACAGGCTTCGTGAGTCCATAAACATTACATTGATAGACACGGAGGATCCGGGTCAGAATAGGTCTTCAGCAACCCATGCTTGTAAAAGGTGACTATGCTTGTAATAAGAGGCGACTAGCAGGTACAGGTGGTCAGGCTCGGTGATTTGGTTGATGCATGACAATTGAGTAGATAGATGCTCATGATTATTATCACTGGATTGTCTGGTCCAGACTAAATTATTTACAGACTGGCGTCATATAGCTAGAATATTGCTGAGTGCGGCGTAAAACAAACTGTACATAGATACTTCCATGTCATGCAAGGGAGCAGTCGTCTAAGGCACCTCAAATCATTGTGCAGACTTGTGTTCCTTAGGTGATCCAGAAACATATGATCATGGGTTCGAATCCCGGTTTGCCCTGATAATTCTCGGTTTATCAGCACCATATTCAGAAGCCCCCATCAAACCCCTCCCCACCCCTCCTTACCTGTCTGGGAAAGGGTCATTTCCTTACGTCCATACACAGCATGTTTCATGTGGTTGAAGGATTTGCTCGTCATGCCGAAGGCCAGAGTCAGTCACTCAGTCAGACAATCAGTCAGATAGATAGACAGACAGACAGTCAGTCAGTCAGTCAGTCAGACCATCCGTCCGTCAATCAGTCAGACAGACAGACAGACAGACAGTCAGTCAGTCAGTCAGTCAGACCGTCCATCTGTCAGTCAGTCAGTCAGTCAGTCAGACAATCAGTCAGACAGACAGACAGTCAGTCAGTCAGTCAGACCTTCCGCCCGTCAGTCAGTCAGTCAGTCAGTCAGTCAGTCAGTCCAGTGGTTTATGTTTCAGCTGCTACTTTGTGGACCACGGTGAATCGGAGCTGATCCCTGTTTCCTTGTAAGTACTGCCAGGGGCATGAATGACCCAGTCCACTCACCATACACAGATGGGTCATGGATCATGGGTTCGAATCCCAGATTCACTGACATTACAATGTTTGGTTTCTCAGCACGGTAGATGGCCTCATTGCTTTCTTGGATTTCCTCACACATCAAGCTGACATGCCGTGATATAACTGGCATTACTTAGTGATAACTATCATTGGTAGGTACTGTTGAACTTCACTATGGAGACTGCTGTATAGGCATGTACTCTCTGCAGCTCATGCTATCCATGGAGAGACCCGTGAAGATTCTGAGGTAGAATAGGTCTTCAGCAACCCATGCTTGCTGTAAAACGTGACTATGCTTGTCGTAAAAGGCGACTAACAGGATCGGGTGGTCAGGCTCGCTGACTTGGTTGAAGCATGTCATCGATCCCAATTGCCTGGATCGATGCTCATGATATTGCATTGTCTGGTCCAGACTCGATTATTTACAGACCGTCGTCATATAGCTGAAATATTTCTGAGTGCGGCATTAAACAACATGGAGCAGATGCTGACATGTACAATGTCGGAACACTGTGGGGATTCCTGGTTGGAGTTGGTCCCCAGAACCTATTCCTTGTTGTACGAGGCGACTTAATGGATCAAGTGGTCAGATTCGGTGACTGAGTGTCATCGTGTTCCGGCATCATATTATAAATCATTTGTTTGTCTGGTCAAGATTCTGATCTTGACCATGTTTACGGGCCGAAGTCATTTAAGCTGGAATATTGCTGAGTGTGACATTCAACAAGAAACAAATAAAGTCGGATGTTTCTCCATTATAAATGTGATGGTAATGTGATTGTTTGACTTCTCCTGCCTCACAGTTTGGGTTGTATTCTCCCCAGGGAGCTAAGAATGAAAATCGGATGCACACTGATCCATTAACCAGGGGAATAATGCAGCTCTTTGGCATTCTGAATATGCACATTATATTGTTATTTTTATTGTTATCAATTGTTTAGCAAATACATCTCACAAATCAAATCTGTATGTAAATTGCTTTTGGTTATGTTGTCTTTGACATATCATTCCATGATGCTTTTCAGCCTGCGACAATTACCAGATCATTTTTGTGAAGTGCCCAGGCAGATTCAGAAGTTTTCCTTATGGGCTATTGAGCCAGTGACCCTCACTACCACCATTGAAGATGGGGATATCATGGCAACAAAACAGTAAGTACAGCGCAAGTGACAATGTTCATTCACAGTTCTTATGAATGACAATGCTATGCCTACAAATGGGTGTAATGAGAGAAACCGAAGCGCTTTGTAAAGCTGATTGTGATTGGTCTATTTCTTTGAGTGAACCAATCACATTGAATGTTGCTGTTTTACACTTTCGTTGCTATGGCGGACACACTTGCTGTCAAACGCAGATGAAGAAGCAGTCATTGTATGTATGAAGGTTGTATACTGTTTAGGCAATGTAAAGTGTTAGCCTCACTGAGAAAACTGTGCCGACAGTAAGTGTTCAGTTGTGGTTAATGAACATTCAGATTGGGTATTATTTTTGCATTATAACCATCTTAGTAGTCTTGATGCCATCTAACTCCACTTGGCACCATCTTAGTCTTGATGCCATCTCAGTCCACTTTGCACCATCTCAGTCCACTTGGCTCCATCTCAGTCCACTTGGCACCATCTTAGTCTTGATGCCATCTCAGTCCACTTGGCACCACCTCAGTTCACTTGGCACCATCTCAGTTCACTTGGCACCATCTCAGTCCACTTGGCACCATCTCAGTCCACTTGGCACCATCTCAGTCCACTTGGCACCATCTCAGTCCACTTGGCACCATCTTAGTCTTGATGCCATCTCAGTCCACTTGGCACCACCTCAGTTCACTTGGCACCATCTCATTCCGCTTGGCACCACCTCAGTCCACTTGGCACCATCTCAGTTAACTTGGCACCATCTCAGTTCACTTGGCACCATCTCAGTCCACTTGGCACCATCTCAGTCCACTTGGCACCACCTCAGTTCACTTGGCACCACATCAGTTAACTTGGCACCACCTCATTCCACTTGGCACAATCTCAGTTCACTTGGCACCATCTCAGTCCACTTGGCACCACATCAGTCCACTTGGCACCATCTCAGTCCACTTGGCACCACATCAGTCCACTTGGCACCATCTCATTCCACTTGGCACCAACTTAGTCCACTTGGCACCATCTCATTCCACTTGGCACCATCTCAGTCCACTTGGCACCATCTCAGTCCACTTGGCACCACATCAGTTCACTTGGCACCATCTCATTCCACTTGGCACCATCTCATTCCACTTGGCATCATCTTAGTCCACTTGGCACCATCTCAGTCCACTTGGCACCACCTTAATAGTCTTGATGCCATCTTTGGCCACTTGGCATCATCTTAGTCCACTTGGCACCAGCTTAGTCCACTTGGCACCAGCTTAGTCCACTTGGCACCATCTTAGTCCCCTTAGTCCTGAAGCCATCTTAGTCCACTTGGCACCATCTTAGTCCACTTGGCACCATCTCAGTCCACTTGGCACCATCTTAGTGGCCTTGATGCCATCTTTGGCCACTTGGCATCATCTTAGTCCACTTGGCACCATCTCAGTCCACTTGACACCATTTTAGTCCACTTGGCACCATCTTAGTCCACTTGGCTCCATCTTAGTGGCCTTGATGCCATCTTTGGCCACTTGGCATCATTTTATTGCACTTGGCATCATTTTATTCCCCTTGGCACCATCTTAGTCCACTTGACACCATTTTAGTCCACTTGGCACCATCTGAGTCCACTTGGCACCATCTGAGTCCACTTGGCACCATCTTAGTGGCCTTGATGCCATCTTTGGCCACTTGGCATCATCTTAGTCCACTTGGCACCATCTCAGTCCACTTGGCACCATCTTAGTAGTTTTGATGCCATCTCAATAAACCTGGAACCATCAGAGTAAACTTGATATTATCTCCGTCATCTGCCTATGAGTACACAGCCTGTGTATTGATTCGAAACTAGTCGGCTTGTAGGTGTATTAAAACAGCTGCAGAGATAAAGTTGCTTAACAATAAACAATTATATGCTTTAAATAAAAAAAACAGGATCAAACACATGCAAATATTACCTCAATCTTATTAAAATCAGATACAAGTTCTCGCTACTGCTGGGGACATCCCATTACAGGTCACGTCACAATGACCTTTTGCGATCTTTTACCCACCAATGAAATGACGAAGAGGTAGTCGACATTATCCACTAAGAAAGCAGCTTTCTTGAGCTTTGCGGCACCAGTTTCAAACTGGTGACTTCCGTTCCCGACTATGCTTTCAAAAGTGTTTGGAATCAGTCATGCAGCCTGTAACAGTAGTTTTGTGTTAAGCTTCAGAGGTTACATGATTAGAAAACATATTCCGTATTTCATTTAATCACCGATGTGATCCATTGAATGTTTATTTTATATCTTACAGAAGGTGTAGAAAATGGGACATCTCTGCTGTTGATTTCCTAAAGAGACTTGTGAAAGGTTAGTACAATAACAGTGACACGATATAGGTGCAGGATGTGCGGTGAGACTTCTGGGTAGATAGGTCAGTGCTGGTCTCCCTGGGTGTGCCAGGAACCAAGATTGTCGGTTTGAATCCCGAACCCCGAATCCTGAATTACGTTGCTTGGTTTGTAAGCAACATACTTGTGCTGGTGGGTTTCACCAGAGTCAATCTCATTAAAATCAGACCTTAGTTCTCGCTACTGCTAAACAAAGATCTGAAGTCATCCTATTAGGGGTCATGTCAGAACGACCTTTCATCCGAATCTCAGTGCGTCGCTTACCAGATTATGAAAGTGACAGTCGGAATGTGATTTCTAATCATGCAAATCTCGAAAACTTTAACATTGGGTATTCCGAAAGATAATTACGGGTTTAACGACTGAATCCTTACAATCTAGACCATCTATTAGCCATTCCAGAATGCTTTTTTTGTTCAGGTTTCAAATTTGTAATCGAGAATTTGTTAAAATATGTTTCGAAGCGTAGTCGCCAATTTGAAATTTGTGCCGTAAAGCACGAGAAAGCTGCCTTCTGATTGGTCATTCCATTGGTCGGTCAAAGTTTGCGCAAGGTCGGTCTGGCTTGACCCGTAATGGGATGTCCTCAGATCTTTGTTAGGCGGAAGCGAGAACTAAGATCTGATTTTAACGAGATTGCACCAGTGTGGTTAATGTCTAAAACCTACATCACTTCAGGCTTTCTCCGACGCACACACGCCCACTCACTCGCTCACCCAAACATCCTTATAGTAGTGTAGAGCTTTTACTCCCATCCCCTCAAACAGAGGATACCAGAGTGATAGCAATAGAGGTTATTATATGTGCATGTGTGTCATACTGATCTTATGAAACGAGTGTTAGAATTCTCTCTCACTCTGGAAATACATGAATTCTTACATAAGTTTCATAAAATCAGTATGACACACATGTGAGTGTAATAATTTCTTTTGATCCTTTTGAGCTCCCTTTTAGAAAAATGCACTGATCTCCATCGCTATCCATGAAAACTGCAATTTGTCGAATGATGTCGACAATCTTCAGCTTTGACAGTTTCTAGTGTGACATCATTCCAACCTTACATCGCAATAAGATCCGAATGATGTCAACAATGCCGTCAGTATGACGGAAACAATACAGTGGTGGTCGTGAAGTGATATTTGCACAAGTGCACATACAAGTTTTATGAGCTCGGTTATTTCTAACCCTATGGGTAAAACAATTGTGTCACAGTTCTCTTGTTTGTGGTAGATGCAAAGTAATATTTTCTATGTCAGTGTTGATATTTCCAAATGAAGGACATCTCAGTGGACATTACTATGGTAGAAGTTCCTGTAATGGTTGTATATTGTTCAAGCCGTGAAGATCCGGGGTAGAACAGGTCTTCAGCAACCCATACTTGTTGTGAAAGGCAACTATGCTTGTCGTAAGAGGCGACAAACGGGATCGGGTGGTCAGACTCGCTGACTTGGTGGATTCATGTCATCATTCATATCTTAATTGCGTGGATCGATGCTCATGTCAAAGTTCCAAATTCATGTTTTAATCATGATAATTTAAACAAATGTTATGGCTGTGCAAATGTTGCTTGTCTTTCACTGACAACAGGACCAGTAACCAGTAAAGTCTTGGAGACTTAGTTTCACATGTTTGCATTGAATGCAATGTTAACATATGTCTCTGTAAGGAAAAGAATGTAGAAAGAAGTCCGTTTTTTACAGAATATATATAAATCCCAATTTGGACCCGTGAAGATTCTGGGTTAGAAAAGGTCTTCAGCAATCCATACTTGCTGTAAAAGGCGACTATGCTTGTCGTAAAAGGCGACTATGCTTGTCGTAAAAGGCGACTCACGGGATCGGGTGGTCAGACTCGCTGACTTGGTTGATGCATGTCATTGATCCCAATTGCGTGGATCGATGCTCATGATGTCAATCACTAGATTGTCTGGTCCAGACTCAGATTATTTTACAGACCGCCGTCATATAGCTGGAATATTGCTGAGTGCAGCGTTAAACAACAAAGAAAGAAAGAAAGAAAGATCCCAATTTGCCTGTGATGCCCTTTGTTTACAATTTTAGACCAGGCACTTTTTGTAAAAATTCATGAATATTCATGGACCCTTTTGGGGCCTGTTCGAAGGGTGGTGGTCAGTGAATTTATATTTATTTCGATAAAAAGTCCTTTGTTCGGATTCATCCCTGACTGGTGATTTTTTGTGCAGATTCGTCAAGCACGAAGGTTGACATCCAGCACCAGGACCAGGAGAGGAACACTGTGTACGTGAAGCTGTACCTCAACACTCCAGATGGGCAGATCTGTGTGAATGATCAGCTCGTGGAGCTTGAGTATGCGGCAAAGACCGTCCCCAAAGTACACCAACCAGCTCTCAGTAAGTTTGTTTGCTGCTTAGCACAACTATGCAATAGTCCACCTGTATGACAGTGTCTGTAGATAATCAAGTCTGGACCAGACAAACCAGTGATTGATATGAGCAAAAACCCATCTTGTATTGGTACAATGACACGCTATTAGCCAAATCCCAGACCCTGGCCACCTTATCCAGTAAGTCAGCTCGTATTTGGTAGGACAGAGGCCGATCATCTAGGTCTCTTTGAGTATGACTTCAGACGCCATTTTGGGAACATGAGTGAGTGAGTGAGTTTAGTATTACGCCACTTTTAGCAATATTCCAGCAATATCATAGCGGTGGAAACCAGAAATGGGCTTCACACATTGTACCCATGTCGGGAATCGAACCTGGGTCTTCGGCGTGACGAGTGAACGCTTTAACCACAAGGCTACCCGACCACCCCTTAGGAACGTGAGTGATGTGAGTTAAGTTGTTGCTGCAGATAGCAATGTAGCATGAATATAGCTAAGTATATCATCGTGATCATGTATATGTATTAAGTGATAGAAACTAACCGTATTTGTCCACTAGTCCTTGTAATGATAACATACAGCAAACCTTAATAATGGCAAATTTCTCAAGTCCTTATGATACCTCAACTATTGGGCAGTTTGGCAAGGACTATAGGACTAGTGCCAATTTCTAACGCTGTGTATGGTGACACAATTTATGCACTTTTTATAAATTCACCTTAAAGAGACTTTAAAAATAGTTATGTATATTCACAGTAATTGTATTTATTTCATTTTAGATCTTTTATAAAGCAGGGTCGTTTCATCTGCGTACTGCAGAGCTCATGTTGAATTATGTTCTAAAACTTGTCATTAGAATACCAAAAGACGTTAAAAGATGGTTCTTTTTGTTACCCTGCCTGGTGTTTGGCATTAAGGGGCTAAAACAAGGACTGGTCGTCTCGGAGTCAGTATACTGTCTGAGTGGGTAGCATGGTCACCAAAAAAGAGATCAAAACCAGGAGAAATCTACGTAAACCTTTTTCATATTCTTTTATGGAAAGGTCAAGATGCTGGATTAGCTGCAATACTGCTGATGCATCCTAGAGCAATTGTTACTAACTGGACTTCCTGTCAACTAGGGGCGGTTGGGTAGCCTAGTAGTTAAAGCGTTTGCTCGTCGTGCTAAGGACCCGGGTTCGATTCCCGACATGGGCACAATGTGTGAAGCCCATTTCTGGTGTCCCACGCCGTGATAATGCTGGAATATTGCTTAAAGCGGCGTAAAACCATACTCACTCACGCACTCACTCCTGTCAACTAACAAAACATGTACACCATATAAATGTATTCTTGGTGTAGATCATTATCTTGAAATTTGAACTTATGTATCTTAAAATTTCAACATGGCATCTTGAAATTTCAAGAAGAAAAAAAATGCAAGTGGCCGTAAAAGGGTTCTGTAGAAATCTAATGGAACTGGAAACAAGCCATGTGAGTACATTTAAGGGAGGTAACCATGTGCTTATAACAATATCGTTTCAGATGCTAGTGAGGAAATTGTCAAACCAAGACGACAGAAGAAGAAAATGACCCAAGAAGATTATCTCAGGATGATTGAAGACGACAGGTTTAATCACCAAAACACTGATTCAGACAGTAGTCACAAAGCCCACAGTGACCCACAAGTCCGACATAAGGTATACAGGAAGACAATAATATATGACAGGAGTCGAGATTGTGAGAGTGACAGTCCAGTCCGACATCGGGGAGCCAGGTCCGACATGTTCATGTCAGACACTGAGCATCATCATAACACCAGGTCAGGGGGATCACTGCTGCAAGTCAGTCAGAGTGACACGGACCTACCCAGGGGCTTGCTGAACAGCAGGCCACACTCTGGGGGACGGGGGAAATGGCTGGAGGGAGGGGATGGAGGGCAGGGAAACATTAGTTTGAATAAACTGATGATTGATGGTGCTACCGGTGGATCTGATAGACTTGGAGTGGTGTTGACAGGGACTTCAGGAGATGCAAACTCCTCGTCTTGTTTCGGAAAGAATGTGAAAGGTGCTGAGTCTAAACATTGTTATGAGAATGCCCTGTCTGACCCTGGCCAACCCAAGAAGATTATGTTAGGAAGGGGGTTTTCCTTCTTAAGCACCTCGTCAGACTCGGACAGTCCTGCTAAGAGAACATGTGATACCAAGATTTCTTATTCTAGTCCAAACAAAACGTCCAGTGCCTCTATGCGTGTGGGGATGCCAGTTCTTGAAACTCAGAGCGGAGACTCGGACACAAACTCTCTAGCCAGTTTAATGGGTCTGAAACCAGTTAGAAGTAGCCCAGGCGGCGCAATCCCAGACAGTTCTAGTCAAAGCGATAGAAAATCTACAGAGGCCCCCCGAGATGAAAATTTCTGTGAAATATTTGTTCCATCTCGCCTCCCCAAATGTGCAATGGTGTCTTCCCAGTCCTGTTCTTCCAAGTCAGAGTCCCCTGAGATGAAGCTTGGGTAAGTGAATAAGATAAGCAGTATCTTCAGTCATTGTGTGCCTGCATTCTTCAGATATGGTTTTTTACTGCCTTGTCGTGCATCTTGGTTACCATGGTTACATGGTATGTCATCATGATCAAATAGTTAAAATTGTCATGGAGATTTACCTTGCTTTTTGATGTTTTTTGCTTAAGGTCGATCCTGAAGAAGTCTCCCTCCCCATCTACATCAAGCCTAGAAGTAAACACTGTCAGGTACCATAAGGATATTGATGCTGCAACACATTGTATATCTTGGAACTCAGTGTCTTGATACTTTTAGGTGCTCAACTGATCATAGATAGTGTGTATTTGTACCGAGATGAGTGTTTGCTCTATCGACCACTGGTTTGCCTGGCTGTATTGGTGTGTCATGGTACCCCAGTTGCCTGTGTCAGTGCTCGCACTATCAACCATTGGTTGGCCTGGCTGTGTCAGTGCTTGCACTATCGACCACTGGTTGGTATGGCTGTATCAGTGCTTGCACGTCGACCACTGGTTGGCCTGGCTGTGTCAGTGCTTGGACTATCAACCACTGGTTGGCCTGGCTGTGTCAGTGCTTGGACTTTCGACCACTGGTTGGTATGGCTGTATCAGTGCTTGCACTATCGAAAACTGGTTGGCCCGACTGTGTCAGTGCTTGCACTATCAACAACTGGTTGGTATGGCTGTGTCAATGCTTGCACTATCAACCACTGGTTGGTATGGCTGTATCAGTGCTTGCACTATCGACCACTGGTTGATATGGCTGTGTCAGTGCTTGCACTATCAACCACCGGTTCGCCCGGCTGTGTCAATGCTTGCACTATCAACTACCGGTTCGCCCGGCTGTGTCAGTGCTTGCACTATGGACCACTGGTTGGCCTGGCTGTGTCAGTGCTTGCACTATCGACCACTGGTTGGCCTGACAGTGTTGGTGTGTCTTGGTACCACAGTTGCCTGTGTCAGTGCCCACACTATCAACCACTAGTTTGCCTGTCTGTGTTGGCGTGTCATGGTAATCTGCATCAGTGCTCACATGCTCAGCCACTGTAACCATAGCCATCGTACACCTTCAGCCCATATCAGTGCTTGAACTGTCTTTCTTGATCCACATGTCTGAACTGGTTCATTTTGCTACATACATGTATGTATGTTTTGATTTTTTGTTATTTTCCAGATTCCAGTCAATGAGCTCATTTCCAAAACACACTCATTAACCATTGTATTTCCTCACTTATCAATCTAGTGGTCAGCCGCTGACTTTTATGGTTTTGGATTTTTTATCTTTTATGAGTAACTACAGCAAAATTCATTGAAAACCTATTGATGTGTCTTATGGCCCTACGTACAACAGAGCTCGATTGAGCAACAGTGCAACCTGTTATTGAAAAGTGCAACCTGATATTTATGTCTACTTGCACCAAGAGCATTTAAAACAAATTCAAATTTATCTCTGACTTGCACTTATCCGGTTTTGTCCGGTGCAACTAGGTTTTCATGTCAACATGCACCTGGTGCAGGTTAAACCAAGTGAAATTGAGCTCTGATATAGCTGAAATATTGCTGAATGCAGCTGTCGCGGCCATAAAATTTTCGAGTCCCGTGATGGGATTCAAACCACAGACCTTCTGATCCGAGGTTGAACACCTTGTCCACATGACGAGAGAGGTTAACCCTGTCAGCAAGCTGACAAGGTAAGGATGTCATCTGCGGGATGACTCCACGCCCCCTGCTACATACTCCCCCGTCATCAGAAGGCACGTCCCGGGCCGCATAGAAGGGTACTGAGGCTTAATTTGCTCAAATTTAATATGAACGTGCTCAGCCCCACGTTGGGGGCCAATGTAGCGGCCATAAAATTTCCGAGTCCTGTGATGGGATTTGAACCACGAAAATTCTGAGCAGAGGTCGGACGCCTTGTCCACATGACCAAAGAGGTTAACCCTGTCAGCAAGTCATCTGTGGGATGACTCCACGCCCCCTGCTACACAGCGTTAAACAGAAAAAATTCATATTTACACAACTGATGTGTCGTATGTCCCTGCATATAGCTGGAATATAACTGAGTGCAGCATTAAACAACAACTAATTCATATTTACACGATTGATGTCCCTGCATCGTTATCATGATTATTCGTCTAACACATTCTCTCCCTGCACTTGTTTGTTCCTGTTCCTGTTCTTTAGTCTGTTCCTCCTGTTCCAGATTCTCCAAGTCAGGAACACAAGAATGGGTTCGCAAAAAAGGCAAAGAAGAAGGGAGAAAGTAAGTTATGACCAAAGGAACTCGATGATAGCGTGTATAACATAATATATTCGTATAAAGAAAAAAACATCACACCCCTCTATATACCATGATATACATAGAGACAAGGAGTGACACCCGCCATCTTGGTTCTTATTCAAGATTTTGCACTCGGTTCGAATCACAGCTCATTATCGCATGAAATATGAATGTCACTTATTTCAACCTATTGGCACCTGCTAAACAAACCATAGGCTATCTTCCCGAGTTAGTCCAGCTTCCACCCTTGCCGAACTAGGCTTGAATTTCTGGGTTCTATCGTAGCGCCACCAGTGGCTGTTACGAGTTATGTCTCTTCTATGCTCCTCCTATTGACTAATCATATTCCACCTCTCACATCACATGCATTTGCTTCAAATAAATTGGTGTCACCCAGTGAAGACGATCTGATTGATAATCAAGATATATATTGCAATAAAATGGGTCTTACCTCGCGAAGTGCGTCCGATCACCTTGATTAAAAGCATGAAAAGATTTGGAAAATATCTGTTGATGCCGAGTTCTCGATACACATGCTTTGCAAATCTTACAATCGACCAAAATCTGCACGGCAGTTTACAATCCTGATGTCGATTTAGTTACGTGATTTTGATTGGACTATGCAAAGACTCGTTAGTCCAGCCAATATGTAACTCCATATTACCAGCCTAGTTCTGCAAGGGTGGAAACTGGACTTTTATAGTCAGTTCACGCCTTTGCCTCGGGAAGATGGCAAACTGGAGGAATACATCGTCAATATTTCTGAATGTCAGTTCTCCTTGAGCCTGAGTAGCAGCTAATTGTGAAAGATTGCGCCCTTCCTTTCATTGAGATTGATTATACTCTTTTCAGTTTCTTAATTTATTTTTTTTTAATTAACCGCTGTTTCCGATGTCAGAAGGATGAGATGAAAATGTGAGTGAGTTTTTTTGACAATTTCTATTTGTTTCAACAGTCTTCTCCCCTTCCTCAGACTATCAAATGGTTTGTCCGTACCAGACAGCTTGGGTCCAAACTGAATGTACACGGCTCCATTGACTGTCAGCATGGCTCTGTGGACTTACTATCATTATTGACCTGTGAAGAATAGGTCTTAAGCAACCCATGCTTGCCGTAAAAGGCGACTATGCTTGTTGTAAGAAGCAACTAAGGGGATCGGGTGGTCAGGCTCGCTGAATGGGAGGATACATGTCTGTTTTGTCATCGTATCACAATTGTGTGAATCGATGCTCATGATGTGAATCACTGGATTGTCTGGTCCAGACTCGATTATTTACAGACCTCCGTCATATAGCTGGAACATTGCTGAGTGCAGCGTTAAGCAACAAACAAACAAATCTTTTCATTATTGAATGTTGTCCCTGAAGTGTAGTAGATCATGTCTTTCTGGTCACAGCATTTTTGAGGATATGTTGCCATGGTTACAGATTGCTGCAGAGCCTGTCAGCAGGTGTGGGCATGAGGGATCATAACATATCTACAATACCCCAGGTATTATGAAGCTGATACATACAATTCTGATCCTTGTTGGCTTGACAGCTGTATTCATATTCAAATGTGAATATTAATGATATGAAAGGCCACAGGCCCAACTATACGAAGTGCATACTATACGATCCTTCTACAATAGATTCACGTTTCATTTAAGTACTTGCTTGCTCTTGAGTCATACCTAAAATATGACATGACAGATTTCAAATCTTGATAATTTGTGATTTCCATAAGGTGAGTTATTTGTTGGACTGAAGGTCAAATTGCATATTCTTTTGGTATGTATTGCTTTCAAAGTCCCCTCATGAAATATAAAAGAGATATCATACAATTTTTTTGCATTGTTGAGGTTACAATATGTATATAAAATTCCAGATTTTGGAACTTTGTGTTGTCTCCCGGTATCAATATTAAAAAAATGTAACTTGTTCCTTTTACAGTGTTTACAACTGGCTTGTTTTTGCAAATATTTCACCTTTTACGACTTTCTTGTAAACAATTAACTCCACATCACCATGCATTATGTATCAGCAATTCTTTTCATTTTACATAAGAAAACAGCTCATAACCATCCCTTGTGTTTCTCAGATGAGTCGTCCAGATCGTTTGGAACACACACCGTTCTTGGGGGTCGTGTATCATGGGGTGTCACAACCCAGTCCCATCCTGGACTTCACCAATCTGCCCTTTACAGAACGTGTTAAACAGGTCAGTTCTGTCTCACAATTTGAAATTCTATTATCCCCTGGTCCCGTGAAGATCCAGCCTTCAGTAACACATCCTTGTCATAAAAGGCAACTAATGGGATTAGGTGGTCAGACTTGCTGACTTTGTTGATGCATGTCATCGTATCCTAATTTGAGAAGATCGATATCCATGATGTCAATCGACCCGTGGTAGAATATATCCAGATTAGAATAGGTCTTCACCCATTCTTGCTGCAAAAGGATCCTATGCTAGTCGTAAGAGGCGACTAACGGGATCAGGTGGTCAGGCTCGCTGACATGGTTGATGTATGTCATTGTATCCCAAATGCATGGATCGATGCTCATGATGTTAATCACTGGATTGTCTGGCCCAGACACGATTATTTACAGACCACCATCATATAGCAGGAACATTGCTGAGTGCAGCATTAAACAAGAAACAAACTATCATCGTCTAACCATACAAAGGAATTGAGGGGCATTGGTCCATCATGTCCATCAAAAACTATTAATAATTTTGGTGTGTAACTTTGTAGGCACATCCGGCAAGTATTGAACTGGTGCCTTTTGCAATTACGGAATATTGTGTTAATTCTCTTTCTGATTAAATCCTCCTTGGGGCACTTATTGCATTTTCCTTGCTCAAGAAAATCTATATGACATAGTTGTAACCATTTTCCTTAATAAAAAATGTTACCACACAAAAAACTTCGTTTTTGTATGATATACGACCACCCTTACGGGGCCTCACCCCCAACGGCGCCTCACGCGAGGGGGAGCAACTCTCACCCAAATCACTTTCCTTATGTCATCTGTAAGAGACAGACGTGTTGATTTTTCACACAAGACAAAAATAAGAGAAATCTATCGTTCGACAAGAACCATGGCTGACCAAACTGTATGTATGGTACATTTCTTTCTTTGCAAAGGCGTAATACCTCGCATTGTGAAGTTATAGAGTTGTAATAATACGCCACGTGCACGGTACCTTTGAATTCAAATGGCCGTAATGGCGTCCATATTGTAGTTCCACGGGCTGATACATGTAACACCAAGGCCATTAAGAAACGGCTTGGGGTTTTGTTATATCATACAGCATTGGTCTACAATTTTTTCCTTTACAAAACCCAAGGTGGTGTGTTAATTCATAAACTACACTTACCTTTTTTACGGGTTTTTACACCTTAGCGCGTAACACGCCCCTTTGGTGTTATAATTATACTACACATTGGCTATTAGTATCGCGTTACAAATCGCATTCTACATTACGCCTTTGCTTCTAGTTTCACAATTTATGCACGTTTCTTTCCGATCTTTATATCGCACTGATACACGTTGATACCCTTCCCGCCCACCTCAGAAATTACGGTCTTGTTTACAAGACCTTCAAACTGTGTACGGGTTGTTCTAAGACAGGCACGAACGCTGCCGAATATGTCTGGCGGAGGACATTGCCTTTACCCCCCGGGGCCCCCAAAAGAGACAAGTTGACTTGTTCCACTTTAAAGAGGTCTATTAAAGGCGGGGGTAGATATCAGATCTACTAAGACATCCCCCCCTCCCCATCTAAAAAGGGTAAAAAAGCTGCCGAGATTGTCTCCCCCGCTCCCTCTCCGGGGGCCGGGGGAGAAGGCTCGAGGGTCCCCGTAGTAAGCACTGCACCCTCTCCTGCACTGTCTTTGGCAGACTTTTCTGCGTTACTTAAGTCGCAGATGGCGTCGATGATGGAGGAGGTAAAGTCTCAGCTCCGAGAGGAGATGCGGACCGAGCCTTCCCCGTTGTCGGCGCCGGACGCGGCTTCGAGACCTTGTGATATGCCCGGCGTCGGCCGAGGCAGGCAACTTGGTCTCGGGGACGATCTCAGACCGGGCTTCGGCGCCGGCTCGAGGTCGCTCCCCAGCGGAGGGGTGGCGGGCGCCGGCCCGTGCACTACCGACGCACAATTTTTCCCTAGCGGAGCCAGACGCCTCTTCCGAGGCCGAGGCTTTCACTAGTGGATTCGTAGCCCGGAGCCAGGGGGGTTCCCTTGGTCTCGGGGACGATCCGAGACCGAGCTTCGGCTCCGGCTCGAGGTCGCTCCCCAGCGTAGTGGTGGCGGGCACCGGCCCGTGCACTACCGACGCACAATTTTCCCTAGCGGAGCCAGACGCCTCTTCCGAGGCCGAGGCGTCCACTAGTGGATACCTAGCCCGGAGCCAGGTTGGTTCCCTTTGTCTCGGGGACGATCCGAGACCGAGCTTCGGCTCCGGCTCGAGGTCGCTCCCCAGCGTAGTGGTGGCGGGCACCGGCCCGTGCACTACCGACGCACAATTTTCCCTAGCGGAGCCAGACGCCTCTTCCGAGGCCGAGGCGTCCACTAGTGGATACCTAGCCCGGAGCCAGGTTGGTTCCCTTTGTCTCGGGGACGATCCGAGACCGAGCTTCGGCTCCGGCTCCGGCTCGAGGTCGCTCCCCAGCGTAGTGGTGGCGGGCACCGGCCCGTGCACTACCGACGCACAATTTACCCCAGCGGAGCCAGACGCCTCTTCCGAGGCCAAGGCTTTCACTAGTGGATACCTAGCCCAGTGCCAGGTGGGTTCCCTTGAACCTCCGGCACCTCGGCACCGGGACTCGGCCTCGGGCCGGGTGCAGAGACACGTGCGGGACAGGATTGTCCATGTACTGCCTCAGGTTGCTGCGCCCATGCCAGAGTCGGAGACACCCAACTTGACTAAGGTCAAGCAGGGCCGGCGGTTGCCCCCCCCCCTTTCCCGTGTGCGGTGCGGAGTTGAAGGCTGCTTACATATGCTTCGAGGAGCAATATCATAATGCATGCCAACAGCTCCGTGTGTCCGTACACTCCGCGTATCTGTCGGCTGTACAGAGGGAGTTAGCGGGAGAGGGGCCGGCCGACTCTTCGGAGTTGGCCGCGCAACTAACATTATCTTGCGCGGGACGCTATTCGTAGCTGTGCATCGCAGATGATGTGCGCTGTTATGTGCATGCGCAGGCGGTGGATGTCGGTATCTAAATACTCGACTTACACACGCCAAGACCTACTTGCTTTGCCGTATAAGAGGGTGCCACCCTCTTCCCTGGGGCTCAGCAGGCGGTCCGAGAGGCTGCTCAATTGTATACTTCCATCAAAGACTCATAAGGCCTTGTTGGAGGTACCAAGCGTTAAAACCGCGTAAGCGGGCCTCTCCAATTGTCCCCTCCTACGCTAACGCACGGGTCAGACGTCCACACCTGCTTGGAAGCCGCCGCTTCCTTCAGGTATAAGGGCGCCGTGAGGAGCAAGAGAGGCACGGGCCGGGGCAAGGCAGCTGGTCGAGGCCAACAGCTTTTTCGCGGGGCTGGGAACGATGGGTTCCCATTAGCGCCCGAAGAGCCCCGGGTGAACCCATAGTCGTAAGTTATCGGGAAAACTCATCCGCTCCTCCACTTTTCCGGGATAAAGCACACACCGGTGCCTGCTACCCGAGAGAAGGCGGAATTCCTCCGTGCCGAGGTCGACGCACTTCTTATGAAAGCTGCGATCGAACCGGGTCCCGAGGGACAGGAAAGCGAGGGCTTCTACTCGACTTGTTTCCTAGTCACCAAACAGTGATCTCAACTGTCGAGACAGGAGAATGGCTAACGTCAATAGACTTAAAATACGCCTATCTCCACATACCAATACATCCAGAGTTCAAGAAATACCTGAGGTTTTCTTTCGACGGGAGGTGTTATCAGTTCAGGGTTCTACCATTCGGGATCTCCACGGCCCCGAGGGTGTTCACCAAGCTGATGTTGATTCCCGCCCAAGTGGCCAGGTCAAAAGGTCGGTTCTGCCATCCGTACCTCGACGACTAGGTTACTAAGAGCTCTATTGCAATCCCTGAGTCAGATAGCTACACAACAAGTGATAGATATTCTGATCACTCTAGGGTGGATGGTCAATCTCAAGAAGTCAGATCTGAGCCCCACTCAGAATCTAGTCTTCCTAGTGGCTAATTTCAACACGGTGAGAGGACGTGTATCTCTGTCACAAGATATCAAGTCCCTTAAGCGCAAGTCACACTGCTCGTACATGGCTCCAGTTACTGGACAACATGGCGGCGACAGTGGATTTGGTCTGGCGGGCGCGCTTGAGAATGAGTCCCATTCAACAAGCACTCCGTCGACTTTGGGCGAACTCGGAAGATCTCGAGACTGTGCTCGAGACTCCGTAGTGGCTCATTACACACCTCCAGTGGTGGACCGAGGTCGGGAATCACTCCCGTTCCGTCTCTCACAGTTCAAACAGACGCGTCACTCTCCGGCTGGGGAGGCGTTCTGAATGATCACACTGCCTCGGGACTATGGTCCCAGCAGGAGATCAAACTGCATATCAATGTGCTAGAACTGAGAGCGGTCAGGTTGGTGTTCCAACGCTTCCCGGATCTGCTTCGTGGCCAAGTGGTTCGTCTAGAGATGGACAACCAAACGGCGATGACTTACATCCGGAAGCAGGGGGGAACGGCGTCTCCGTCGCTTCGACGAAAGACGTGGCAGTTCCTACTATAGTGCGACTCTCACGATATCAGGGTGCTACCTGTTTATCTCCCGGGGGTGGACAACGTCCGTGCGGACGCTCTGTCTTGCCGGATCCTCGCTCCTCACGAGTGGAGGCTCGACCCGGGGATATTCGGGATTTTCTCCCTGTTATACAGGTCGTTACAGGTGGATCTGTTTGCGTCTGGGTTAAATAACCAGACACCAACGTTCTGCTCCCGAGTCCACGACCCGAGGTCGGTGGCACCGGACGCCTTTCAGCTAGATTGGACGGACAGTTCTGTGGGCATTCTCCCCAGTACCTCTGATTTCCAAGGTCCTGTCTCAGCTAGGCACTCAGCCTGCGCGACTAATTGTGCTCCTGGCACCTCTTTAGTCGGCGCAGAGTGGGTTTCCAGTAATACTCAGGTTTCTGGCTCAGCCTCCTGTTATATTACCTTTACGACCGGACCTCCTATCCCAGAACGGGGCCCTCCACCCGAATCTCAGGATTCAATGGGTGGCTTGGCCACTGTCAGGAATCGCCTCCAGAAGAGCGGTATTCCTGCACGAGTTGCAGACACAATACTGGCTTCGCGGAGGGATTCGACAAACGTTCAGTACGATAGATAGGCCTGCTATGCGCCCAGGTGTGTCGATAGAGGGATTGCAGATCTTTTTTCTGCAGATCTCGTATCCGTGCTTGAGTTTCTCCAGTCGCGACTAGATGACGGCCTGGCCGCATCAACAGTCCGAGGGTACTCTACAGCTATCGCAGCTTTTCACGTCCCTGTCGACGGGGCACTTCTGGGTGCACACCCATTAGTGCAGCGCTTTTTAGCAGGTGTGGACAGGATCCGACCGCCAGTCCGGCGGATCAGTCCCCCTTGGGACTTGTCAATCATTCTAGATTGGCTGTCCGGTCCTTCCTTTCGGGATCTGTCGTCTCTCTCTCTTCAGCTGTTGAGCTGGGAGACGGCGTTCCTTGTGGTGGTAACGTCCGGCAGACGGGTAGGCGACATTCGTGTTATGTCAGCCGATCCCAAAATAACTGTCTTCCATGGGGTCGATAAATATCACCGGGACAGTCAGTTTTCGTCTACCGGACTATTACCGTCCTAGGGTCGCACACGATTCCACGTGAACGGCTCCTATTGAGCTACCCGCTCTTTCACAGCCTTCCTCGTCGGGGACCACTGCAAGACATGCTCATGTCTTGGATGTCCGCACGACTCTCAAGGCCTATATCAGCAGAAATATGGGTGTCCGTAAGGATAACCAACTATTTTGCTGTTACTGCGGTAGGAAGGTTGGCTCACCTGCGAGTAAACAATCTATCTCGAGGTGGATAGTTTCAAACATTTGTACAGCGTATACGCTTACAGGCAGGGACCCCCCTACCAGGTTGAAGGCTCATTAGGTTAGAGCAGTGGCTGCGTCAAAAGCGTACGCCGCGGCTCTGCCCATTGAGCAGATCTGCTCCGCGGCTATTTGGAGCCAGCCGAGCACGATTCATCAAACCTTACCAACTCGACAAACACTCAAGCGAGCGTACTCGGTTTGGTCAGTCAGTTCTCCGAACTGGGCAAAGTTCTAATCTCTAGCTGATTGAGCATTCGAGATTTTAGACAGTCTTCCGGTTATACTGCTCAGTAATGGTCCGGATTTTATCTTCTGCGGTCGATAAATATCAGTCCTTACTACTCGATAATACTCGTATTTTGCGCACGCACTCCTTCGATCCTCGGGGACCCTCTGGCCTAGCTCAGCGCTGGTTATGGTCTCTCGTGATCTACGCCCTTATATCACTTGTTCAAAAAAGTGTGGGGGGGTGGGAGGTGTTTCGAGTTCTCAACTTATGACAAGCCGCAAAAACAGGCTTTATCATAATATATGGTCGACCACGCCCTGTCTCTAGCCCCCGCCTTTCGACGGTGGTGCCTCACGATAAGGTTGGTTCCATTTATTGAACTCAATATTTTATTCTGTTGAATAATCAAATACGATGTATTTATTTACGCCTGTTGCTGACGGATGCCACTTCCTAGATTATCTTTGGGAGTCTGTCTTGATGCAATCAGTGCCCCAAGGAGGATTTAATCAGAAAGAGAATTTTACAAACCTGTAGAGGTTATGAATTCTCTGATGAAATCCTCCTTGGGGCACGGCCACCCACCTCCCCACATTCCGTCAGCATTTGACATATGGAAAGTGATTTGGGTGAGAGTTGCTCCCCCTCGCGTGAGGCGCCGTTGGGGGTGAGGCCCCGTAAGGGTGGTCGTATATCATACAAAAACGAAGTTTTTTGTGTGGTAACATTTTTTATTAAGGAAAATGGTTACAACTATGTCATATAGATTTTCTTGAGCAAGGAAAATGCAATAAGTGCCCCAAGGAGGATTTCATCCGAGAATTCATAACCTCTACAGGTTTGTAAAAATTTCTAGTACCAGTGAACGGGCCAGTGAACTTATATCTTGCCTGAAACTGCTGAAAGCCATTCCTCAGACATTTGTGTTTAAAATGTTGCAGAAAGTTAAGTTTGATCCTGGGGGTTCCAGGGTAGAATAGATCGCCTCCATGGTCTAGTGGTAGAGCGTCCGCCCAGAGAGCGGTAGGTCCGGGGTTCGATCCCCGTCAGCGTCATACCAAAAGACGGTACTTGTTGTTACCCTGTCTGGCGCTCGGCATTAAGGGGCTAAAACAAGGACTGGTCGGCTCAGAGTCAGTATGCTGTGTCTGAGTGGGGTATTCATGTTAAACTGTGACATGGTATCTCAGTGAGTTAGCACTATAAATCGGCATCAGTCCAGACTAGAACAAGCAGCCACACAAACACACACATGTGCAAGCACATCGCTATATAAGTGCAATAATCTTGGACATGACGTTAAACCCAATTTCACCTCCCCTCCAGGGTAGAATACGTCCCCAGCTTCCAATGCTTGTCATATGATTTAATGTGTTTGGTTGTTAGACTCAGTGACTTGTTTGGTTGCATGTCAACATGCACTGATGGTGTGGATCAATGTTCATAATATCCATCACTGGATGATCTGGTCCACACTTGATACGTATCAGGCCGCAGCCATTTAGCATAAATATTATTGAGTGCGGCGTTACACAACAAACACGCATACTCACGTTTTAAATTGCATTTTGCATGAGGCACAATGTTTGCCATTTCATTGGTGAAGTGGAAGAGCAGCCTTTGAAATATTTTGTTACTGTGTACTAAAACCTTCTATGGAAGAGTCCATGTTTCCATAATAAAAATTTATTGTATTTACCTCATTTAAGGCATTCCTGAAAAAGAAATTCACAAGTCCGATGACGATTCAGGCGTACTGTTGGCCTGCTGTGCGTCGAGGCCGCCACGTGATTGGCATCTCGCCACCAGGGACAGGGAAGACATTGGCATATCTGCTGCCATTGTTGACGCAGCTCTCCGAGTCCAAGCCATACATGCCAGTGCCTGTTGGAAATGGAGTAAGTACCTCAGTCAGCTGATCTCCTGACTCTACGAAGACCCTATGCCCTGATACTTCCCTGTCATGGTAGCGTGGACCAATGAAGATCTGGGTTTAAATAGGTCTTCAGCAATCCATGCTTGCAGTAAAAGGCGCCTATGATTGTCATAAGAGGCCACCAAGAGGATCGGGGTCAGGCTCACTGACTTGGTTGATGCATGTCAATGTATCCCAATTGCGTAGATCCATGGTCCAGACTTGATTATTAGCTCACTGGGTCTGAAGGACCAAGGTGAGCTTATGCCGTTCCGTGGCGTCTGTAGTCCGTCCGTCGTCAACCATATTTGGTTGAAAGCATTCTCCGCTGGTGAGGATTATTTGGTTGAAAGCATTCTCCGGGGTGAGGATTATTTGGTTGGAAGCATTCTCCGGTGGTGAGGATTCAAAATTGTACAAATGGATGTGCTGACCCCTCAAGGGGCTGTGGGGTGGGGCGAAATAGGGGTAATTTGGTGTTATTGCTTTAAAGGACTTCCCCGTTGATAACTAACAGATAGTTATCAACCATATTTGGTTGGAAGCATTTTCCAATGGTGGGGATTCAAATTGGAGAAATGGAGGGGCTGAACGCCACCCACAACCCCGGGGACTGAGGGGTGGGGCTCAATAGGTAATTTGGTTATATTGCTTTAAACAACTTTTTCTCGGGAACTAAGAGATGGACATCAACCATATTTGGTTGAAAAGTATTCTCAGGTGGTGGGAATTCACAGTTGTACAAATGGAGGGGCTGAGGGGCAGGGCCAAAAAGAGTTTCTAACTTAGACACAGTTAAGATCCCCACCGTATAACCATATGTACAATTGAGAGTATAATGAGAGGAATGCACATATGCTACCAGGACTGGCCCTTCTGTTCATCTGTCTGGCACTCCCAAAGGAGTTAGAACCTTGACCATAACATGCAAACCGATATTATCCCCACCCTATAATCAACAGATACATTGTATACATTTGTATGTTATGAAGGGAATAATACATTTATGCCATAAGGATTCGCCATGGGGTCCAGCCTTGCCTCTGGAAACTTAGATCCTGGATCATGACATGGAAACGGTTCAGATCTTAAGCTTCATTTGTAGCTAGAGAAGTACACGTTCATGCTGTCAGATTTGCCATCCACCCCTTTTTGATGCTGACAGAGTCAAAATTACGCAATATTTGTAGTATTATATACTTGTACAATGCAAATGTATATTTTGTCATGATTGCGTAAACATCCAGGTGAGCGATACAGGCTCTATGGGCCTTTACAGACCGCCGTCTAATAGCTGGAATATTGCTGAGTGTTGAGTTAAGCAACAAACAAATGATAGTAGTGTGACTCACCTCATCTCATGTCTGTACACAATGTTGCAGCCCTATGCCCTGATACTCGTCCCGTCATGGAAGAAAGCCCAGAATGTGTTTGATGCCTGCACAGACTACCTACAGGGGCAGAAAATGCCAAGAGTTATTTCCATCTTCGCTGGTGGATGCGAAGATTCAAAAGTGGTTAGTAATCACCGCTAATTAAAGCAAAAGATTAGATAATTAAAGCAAAAGATTAGATAATTAAAGCATTTCGGTACAGTACTCCTGGAACTTCAGGGATGGACACAGCCACTTGTCCGATAGTCCGAGACTAGTGAAAATTCAGAGAGACTAGTTTTTTATCAATATCAAACTCAAGTTATTTTACATAAACCACGAGTCGTAAATGAGATGCCAACTAGTTGGTTTCGGCCAATGGTGTCTAGCCCTGAGGTTGTTAGTGTTGTATGACTTTGACAGCCCTCCTGACTAATAAGATCCTCTCCATTGCAGGTCCCACTGATTAATGGTTGTGAAGTCCTTGTGGCCACACCACCTTGTCTTCAACGCATGATGGAAAAGAAGTACACAAACCTCAGCCGTCTCTGCCATCTTGTAGGTTTATGTTCATGCTTGGTGTATTCCAGACTAGAATAGGTCATGGCTACTCCAAGCCATTAGATACTATGGTTTGACTGGAGACCTTGTGCATAGAGGTCATGTCACATGGCGTTTAGATCACAGCAGTGTTCTCAGGATGATGTTCAGATCCAGGTCTGACACAAAAAAATTCCTAAATTGGAATGTGAATACACCAATTTTATTATTTACTTGTAATGTTTTTACAGATCGTCTGATACCTTTAGAAACTGATAATATTTATATATTTTAATAAGCACAATTTTTTAGAGGACAGCATCCTTTTTTCCTGGCTCTTGTTTGGAAATCCTAGTTTGGCCCATGGACTAAAGATGAGAGTCCAACCAAGGACTAAAGATGAGATGGTTTGACAATATGTATCTCAAGTCCCAAACAAGCACCTGTTTAATATGGGTCTTCAGCAACCCATGCTTGTCATAAGAGGCGACTAACGGGATCGGCTGGTCAGGCTCGCTGACTTGATTGATGCATGTCTTCGTATCCCAATTGCATGGATCGATGCTCATGATGTCAACTGGATTTGCTGGTCTAAACCTGATTATTGACAGACCACCGTCATATAGCTGGAATATTTCTGAGTGCAGGGTTAATCAACAAACAAACCATTCATGAACACTCAACACTTGTCAAGCATGTTAAACTGCTGTGATCCCTCATCGAGGGGTGTGTGACCCAACAAGCTTTGTCCATTCAAATATTCCTGGTTCCAGGTGCTTGATGATGCCGAAATACTTACCGAAGTGTTCAAGTCTGAGGTGAGGTTAATTCTCCCATCATGATTTTTTAAACCTTTTACGTATTTACATATTTATATTTTTATATGGTCCCTAGTTTTTAGTATTGATCAGGTCTTCAGGACCATGTATATTTTGGGTATGAATATGCCCCAACAACCTATGTTTGTCATTAGAGGTGACAAAATGATAGTGGCTGGGTTGTGTGTCACTGCATGGGACATGCTCATTACATTAATCACTCATTCACGGGTAGGGGGGCACGGGTGGCCCAGTCGTCTAAGGCGCTGCGATTTCGCTGAGCAGAGTTGCATCCCTTGGGCAGGCCAGAAACCTATGATTGTGGGTTCGAATCCCGGTTCGCCCCGATTATGTTTCTAGGTTGTCAGCACCATAACCCGTGCTCGTGGGTTTCACCGAAGTGGTAAACGTCTGAGACCTGCATCACTTCAGACTTTCCTCCCACATTAAGCTGACACGCCGCGATATAACTGCAATACTGTTATAAGCGGCGTTAAACCCAACTCGCTCGCTCACTCACTCACTCACTCACTCACTCACTCACTCACTCACTCACTCACTCACTCACTCACTCACTCACTCACTCACTCACTCACTCACTCACTCACTCACTCACTCACTCACTCACTCACGGGTATATCTGATCCAGACTGGATTATTCACTGCAGAGATATAGCAGGCATATTGCTGAATGAAGGTACAAACGACTTGAGGATATGGTCTCTTTTGTATTTGGGAGTGTTCTAATCAAGTGTTTTATATGAATCAGGGCAGTTAAGATCATAGACTATAAATAAATCATCATAGAAACACAATATTATTTTACAGAAGTAGGGGATCATGAAATAAAAATGTTATGATAGGTCGCCAGGAGAGAGGTCAGCCTTGAAGAATGACTTGGCGAGATAGAACGGCTTCAGAACCAAAACCTCTCACCCCAACGATCATGAAATAAAAATGTTATGATAGGTCGCCAGGAGAGAGGTCAGCCTTGAAGAATGACTTCGCGAGATAGAACGGCTTCAGAACCAAAACCTCTCACCCCAACGATCATGAAATAAAAATGTTATGATAGGTCGCCAGGAGAGAGGTCAGCCTTGAAGAATGACTTCGCGAGATAGAACGGCTTCAGAACCAATACCTCTCACCCCAACAATCATGAAATAGAAATGTTATGATAGGTCGCCAGGAGAGAGGTCAGTCTTGAAGAATGACTTTGTGAGATAGAACTGTTTTAGAACCAAAACCTACACAATTGCACATGGACCTTGCAATTCCTCTGTGTACGTGGTGGGTTGGGGTTGTTACTGATTTTGACACTTGAGTGAAAGGTTGTCAAATCGCTCTGAGCCGTTGGTATTGATTGTTATTATCCACATCTACAAGTAAGCTCTCCTCTCTTGCTTGAATGCAGTATTTAGGATCAGATTGGGAATGCAGTGTCTACAGCGTGATGAACACTTCAGGGCTATTGGCATGCTTCAAACTGATAGAACTCTGTGAGAGGAAGCAAATATGTTCAATGTGTCTCTGTGTGTGATTTGCAGACTTTGGAACAGGTTTCTGCAGACACAAAATGTTAATTGCTGGCCCTGTACAGGGCGCCCAAGATCAACTCTGCATGTTCAGGATTAATACCGCCGTGATATTGCTGGAATATTGCTAAAAGCGGCGTAAAACCAAACTCGCTCACTCACTCACTCACTCACTCACTCACTCACTCACTCACTCACCACTCACTCACTCACTCACTCACTCACTCACTCACTCACTCAAGATGCAAGGCTGTTTACAGAGAATTATTGTCCATATTGTAAAGTGTAAATTAGGTGCTGTAGTTTTCCAGCACTTATAGTGACAAAGAAATATTTGAAAAATATCATTAAACGAGCAGTAATTTATATTAGCAAGTGTATATTCTTGTATTAATAAAGAAAAAGATATATTGTGTATTGTATCGTTGCACTCATGATGCACTGATGTACTGTTTCACCTTTAGTATTAGCCAGACACAGGACTCTAGTATCCAGAGTTGGGTTTCCAAGATGACTTTGTGTATTCTCCGTGAGTTGGGTAATCAATTATAAATTTTGTGTTTTTGTGTGTATTTTTTATGTATTAAATCAGAAATGATATAACCTTTTTTCTAGGTTAAGTATATAATGAAAACGTATGCTGACGTTGTCCGAGAATCTACCTTGAAACGAGATGTTCCGCGTCAGAGAATGGTGTTTGCGAGCCAGTGGACCAAGGGAATCGACTCCTTCATAGCCGCCTACATCCATCAACCCCTACTGGTCATCACGTCCAAGATGGAGGCGGCTGTGTACGGCCAAGTCAAGCAGGTAAGTCGTGTAACGAGTGTAGAGACATGTTTTCATTGCAAAGGACCAGGTATGATAAGGGACCTTTATGGAAATGCCAAATTCTTAATTTACAGAAAATTTTGAAATATTTGTATTGTTGCCTTAACAAGTCATTTAGTTATAGCAAAACTCTTAGAAATTGCAAATTTCTACTGGTCCTTATGATACCTAAACTATAGGGCATTTTGGCAAGGACTATAGGACTAGTGCCAGTTTCTAATGCTGCTTAAAATAATCATTCTTTTCACAACTCATGAACCAGTACGAGCTGAGACATGGCTTGTTGATGTTTCAAGACTGAAAAAAGTCATTTCGTTTATATGTTGACATTGTGGGTATGTTTGTCCATGCAGCAAATCATCCTTGATCTACGGAAAAAGTTAAGAACTTGTGTTTACTTCCAGATTGTGCACATGTGCAAATACGAAAATAGGTCCTACCAGCTGCGGAGCATCTTAGAGGGCATCGGGACGCCTGGCAACAAGATAATCCTTTGTTCATCTCTGGTTGAGGAAGTGGAGATGCTGTATGGGGTATGTTCATAATTGGATGAGGGACATGCTATAAGAGAGCTTTGAGCATTAAGAAGTCTGTCCAGTACACATATTTGAAAATATTAGAGGAATAGCGATATGATAGGGTTGCAATACGTATCCCGCTACTATGGGTACGATACTATTCGTATTCCAATACAGTACTTTTATTTATTTATTTTATGCATGCTTTCTTTTTGCAGGCAAATCACCCCCCTAAATCATATGTTATTAAATTCTGTAATGTGGATGTCATGCTATATATGTCCAACCATGAAATACGAGATAATATTCGTATAACCTATAATGTATTGTATCATATGTATCATGATACAGGGGTCATACATCAATGTATTGTATTGTGGGCCTTGTGTCATGATACATTATTGTATCGCTGTATCGTTACACCACTAGAAAATATGATGAACTTTAAAGTCAGTGACTGTTGTTACTTGGAGCATTATGACCAGGGTGGTGTTGTACTTGGAGCGTTATGACCAGGGTGGCATTGTTACTTGGAGCATTATGACCAGGGTGGCGTTGTTACTTGGGGCATTATGACCAGGGTGGCATTGTTACTTGGAGCATTATGACCAGGGTGGCGTTGTTACTTGGAGCATTGTGACCAGGGTGGCGTTGTTACTTGTAGCATTATGACCAGGGTGGCATTGTTACTTGGAGCATTATGACCAGGGTGGCATTGTTACTTGGAGCATTATGACCTAAGGAGGACTGTACTTGAGGGAAGAAGGAATTATCTCCAAAACATAACTACATTGCTTATTTTTTGTCCAATTTCTTTTTTTAATAGCCTTATAATCAGGGAATTGGAATGTCTGTTCTGAACATCATTTGCATTGGCTTTATAACCAGGGAATGTTGCAGTGCAGTAATCCAAACTTAGAAAAACATAGCATTATAGGAACTGTGTTAACACTATCCAGGCTAGGAACTGTGTTAACACTATCCAGGCTAGTAGACGTTTCACGTTAGATTTTGGGACCTACGACAACCCCAAGGGTAATCCCAAGTTGAAATGGTCCCCAGCAGCCTATACTTGTTGTAAGTGGCAGTTAAACGGATTGGGTGTCACTGTACCCCGACAACGTTGATTTTTGCTCAAGATATCAATCACTTGATGTTCGAGACATGATTATTTACGGGCCACAGTCATGGAGTATTGCTGAGTGTGACGTTAAACAAACAAACAAACACACGATGAGGTGGAGTATGCTTTACAATGTGCAGTTTTTCTGTGGCTCATTTAACACAACAGAATGAACAATAAATACACAAGAGAATTCACTTGTCCTTTAATAAGGTTAACAGCTTTAGGTAACAGCATGATTAGAGATGATAAGTTAAGAAAATAATGAAGAGAAATCAAATTTGTGCTATCCTTGATGCGACTGTGTTTCCGTCTCATGTAGATGTTGACGACCCAGAGCATGCACACCTTAGTCTGCCATGACGACATGTCGCTTTCGGACCGTGACGACATGTACCGGCAGTGGCACAACCTCAACTCCAGGGACGCCGCACTCATCATGGGTAAGATGCACACACCTTCACCGGAGTAGGAAACATGTCATGGTTACACACACCTTCACAGGTAGGAAACGCATAATGGCTGCACACACCTTCACAGGTAGGAAACACATAATGGTTGCACACACCTTCACAGGTAGGAAACACATAATGGTTGCACACACCTTTACAGGCAGGAAACACATAATGGTTGCACACACCTTCACAGGTAGGAAACATGTCATGGTTGCACACACCTTCACCGGAGTAGGGAACATGTCATGGTTGCACACACCTTCACAGGTAGGAAACACAATGGTTGCACGCACCTTCACAGGCAGGAAACACAGAATGGTTGCACACACCTTCACAGGTAGGAAACATGTCATGGTTGCACACACCTTCACAGGAGTAGGGAACATGTCATGGCTGCACACACCTTCACAGGTAGGAAACATGTCATGGTTGCACACACCTTCACAGGCAGGAAACACAGAATGGTTGCACACACCTTCACAGGTAGGAAACATGTCATGGCTGCACACACCTTCACAGGTAGGGAACATGTCATGGTTGCACACACCTTCACAGGTAGGGAACATGTCATGGTTGCACACACCTTCACAGGTAGGAAACATGTCATGGTTGCACACACCTTCACAGGTAGGAAACATGTCATGGTTGCAAACACCTTCACAGGCAGGAAACATGTCATGGTTGCACACACCTTCACAGGAGTAGGAAACACATAATGGTTGCACACACCTTCACAGGTAGGAAACGCATAATGGTTGCACACACCTTCACAGGTAGGAAACATGTCATGGTTGCACACACCTTCACAGGAGTAGGGAACATGTCATGGTTGCACACACCTTCACAGGTAGGAAACACAATGGTTGCACGCACCTTCACAGGCAGGAAACACATAATGGTTGCACACACCTTCACAGGTAGGAAACATGTCATGGTTGCACACACCTTCACAGGTAGGAAACACAATGGTTGCACGCACCTTCACAGGCAGGAAACACAGAATGGTTGCACACACCTTCACAGGTAGGAAACACAATGGTTGCACACACCTTCACAGGTAGGAAACACATAATGGTTGCACACACCTTCACAGGCAGGAAACACATAATGGTTGCACACATCTTCACAGGTAGGAAACATGTCATGGTTGCACACACCTTCACAGGAGTAGGGAACATGTCATGGTTGCACACACCTTCACAGGTAGGAAACACAATGGTTGCACGCACCTTCACAGGCAGGAAACACAGAATGGTTGCACACACCTTCACAGGTAGGAAACATGTCATGGCTGCACACACCTTCACAGGTAGGGAACATGTCATGGTTGCACACACCTTCACAGGTAGGGAACATTTCATTGTTGCACACACCTTCACAGGTAGGAAACATGTCATGGTTGCACACACCTTCACAGGCAGGAAACATGTCATGGTTGCAAACACCTTCACAGGTAGGGAACATGTCATGGTTGCACACACCTTCACAGGCAGGAAACATGTCATGGTTGCACACACCTTCACAGGTAGGAAACATGTCATGGTTGCACACACCTTCACAGGAGTAGGGAACATGTCATGGTTGCACACACCTTCACAGGTAGGAAACAATGGTTGCACGCACCTTCACAGGCAGGAAACACAGAATGGTTGCACACACCTTCACAGGTAGGAAACATGTCATGGCTGCACACACCTTCACAGGTAGGGAACATGTCATGGTTGCACACACCTTCACAGGCAGGAAACACAGAATGGTTGCACACACCTTCACAGGTAGGAAACATGTCATGGTTGCACACACCTTCACAGGTAGGGAACATGTCATGGTTGCACACACCTTCACAGGTAGGAAACATGTCATGGTTGCACACACCTTCACAGGTAGGAAACATGTCATGGTTGCACACACCTTCACAGGCAGGAAACATGTCATGGTTGCACACACCTTCACAGGTAGGAAACATGTCATGGTTGCACACACCTTCACAGGTAGGAAACATGTCATTGTTGCACACACCTTCACAGGAGTAGGGAACATGTCATGGTTGCACACACCTTCACAGGTAGGAAACATGTCATGGTTGCACACACCTTCACAGGTAGGAAACATGTCATGGTTGCACACACCTTCACAGGTAGGGAACATGTCATGGTTGCACACACCTTCACAGGCAGGAAACATGTCATGGTTGCACACACCTTCACAGGTAGGAAACACATAATGGTTGCACACACCTTCACAGGTAGGAAACATGTCATGGTTGCACACACCTTCACAGGCAGGAAACATGTCATGGTTGCACACACCTTCACAGGTAGGAAACATGTCTTGGTTGCACACACCTTCACAGGTAGGAAACACATAATGGTTGCACACACCTTCACAGGTAGGAAACATGTCATGGTTGCACACACCTTCACAGGTAGGAAACATGTCAAGGTTGCACACACCTTCACAGGTAGGAAACATGTCATGGTTGCACACACCTTCACAGGTAGGAAACATGTCATGGTTGCACACACCTTCACAGGTAGGAAACATGTCAAGGTTGCACACACCTTCACAGGAGTAGGGAACATGTCATGGTTGCACACACCTTCACAGGTAGGAAACATGTCATGGTTGCACACACCTTCACAGGTAGGAAACATGTCATGGTTGCACACACCTTCACAGGTAGGAAACATGTCAAGGTTGCACACACCTTCACAGGAGTAGGGAACATGTCATGGTTACACACACCTTCACAGATAGGAAACATGTCATGGTTGCACACACCTTCACAGGTAGGAAACATGTCATGGTTGCACACACCTTCACAGGTAGGGAACATGTCATGGTTGCACACACCTTCACAGGTAGGAAACATGTCAAGGTTGCACACACCTTCACAGGTAGGGAACATGTCATGGTTGCACACACCTTCACAGGTAGGAAACATGTCAAGGTTGCACACACCTTCACAGGTAGGGAACATGTCATGGTTGCACACACCTTCACAGGTAGGGAACATGTCATGGTTGCACACACCTTCACAGGTAGGAAACATGTCAAGGTTGCACACACCTTCACAGGTAGGGAACATGTCATGGTTGCACACACCTTCACAGGTAGGAAACATGTCATGGTTGCACACACCTTCACAGGTAGGGAACATGTCATGGTTGCACACACCTTCACAGGTAGGGAACATGTCATGGTTGCACACACCTTCACAGGCAGGAAACACAGAATGGTTGCACACACCTTCACAGGTAGGAAACATGTCATGGTTGCACACACCTTCACAGGCAGGAAACATGTCATGGTTGCACACACCTTCACAGGTAGGGAACATGTCATGGTTGCACACACCTTCACAGGCAGGAAACATGTCATGGTTGCACACACCTTCACAGGCAGGAAACATGTCATGGTTGCACACACCTTCACAGGTAGGAAACATGTCATGGTTGCACACACCTTCACAGGCAGGAAACATGTCATGGTTGCACACACCTTCACAGGCAGGAAACATGTCATGGTTGCACACACCTTCACAGGCAGGAAACATGTCATGGTTGCACACACCTTCACAGGCAGGAAACATGTCATGGTTGCACACACCTTCACAGGCAGGAAACATGTCATGGTTGCACACACCTTCACAGGCAGGAAACATGTCATGGTTGCACACACCTTCACAGGTAGGAAACATGTCATGGTTGCACACACCTTCACAGGTAGGGAACATGTCATGGTTGCACACACCTTCACAGGCAGGAAACATGTCATGGTTGCACACACCTTCACAGGCAGGAAACATGTCATGGTTGCACACACCTTCACAGGCAGGAAACATGTCATGGTTGCACACACCTTCACAGGCAGGAAACATGTCATGGTTGCACACACCTTCACAGGTAGGAAACATGTCATGGTTGCACACACCTTCACAGGTAGGAAACATGTTATGTTTCACTGTCCGCTTCAGGAAACCTGTTTTCCAAATAAACAGTGCTTTTTTTAAAAGGACTTTTGGGGGTGGGTGTCATAAAGGTCGTCTGGTAGGCAGTGTTTTCAGACTCACTTTGCTGTTATTCATCCCTCCCCCTGTTGTTGCAGTGATGACAGATGAATGTGTAACGGACAGCAACATCACCGACGCCACACATGTCATCCACTACAACCTGCCGAAATCAAAAACTAGGTTTGGCAACAGAATGGCGTGTATGCTGAACTTTTTCTATGACTTCTCCAAGCCTCAAGAGGTAGGGATGACCTTGACAAGTCAAGTCTGATAACTCCTTTATACAGCTAAATGGGAATCGGTGATGCATGGCAAAATATTCCAAATGAGAAGATTACTTTAAATCAGGGAAATATTTTTGAATAATTGTTCATGTTAATGCAAATGATCCAGACATAAAAACTTCAAAGAAATGTTTCTAGTTTTCATGGATGATACAATCTCTGAAACTTCTGTTAGATCTGTATTCTTTTTCTGAGAAGCAGTTTGTGTGTGATTAATACAAAACCAAACAAGGGTAAAGGGCCGTTTGATACAGAATGGACTTACAGATTTTTGAATTTTTCCATTAAGAATGAAATGTCTAACACATTTTGATATATTTCCAGGGGTCACAGGTGGCCCAGTCATCTAAATCACCGCAATTCGCTGTGCAGAGTTGCGTCCCTTTGGCACACCAGACACCTATGATTTTGGGTTTTGGTTTGCCCCAATTATATTTCTAGGTTTGTCAGTGCCGAACCCGAGCTCGTGGGTTTCACCGACGTGGTAAATGTCTAAGACCTGCATCACTTCAGGCTTTCCTCCCACATTAAGTTGACATGCCGTGATATAACTAGAATACTCACTGACATATTTCCATATGGAAGTGAAATCAAACATTATATATTTCAGTCATCGGTCACGCCAACATCCTACATATTTGTGACAGACAGAAACAAGAAGGAAGTGAAGAGCTTGGCCAGCTTCCTGGAGCGGAGCAACAGTGAGATTCCCAAGGCCATGTCAAGCTACATGGCCGGCATGCAGATGGTGAGAGAACACTAAGTGTGTCATCAGTCTTCTTGGCATTGGCAACTTTCGCTTTTACGGTTAAGCTCCACCTCCAGCCGTTTCAAGCCTGCTTGAAATTGCATGTCCAAACTGTTATCCTTGCTCTGCTCTGCCTGGCTTCGTTTTGATATCACCATGATAGCTTTGCAGTCGTTAGCATTTTTATTCTGTATTTGTTGGTTTACAAACAACAATGGCTCAAAAGGTAAAGAAAAGATAATGAAGACTTCCACATAAAGGAACATAACTTGCTGTCAGTCAACAAACAAACACCTGTTAACTTGGCAGGACTTTGGGTTCAGCGCTGGTGGTTGGCTGGTTCCCTCATCTTGTATACATCACAAATCTTTGCACTGAAGGGCAGCCTCCATGGTCTGCTGGATAGATTATTAAGCATTAAGTGGATTATACAAGGACTGGTCAGTATACTTTGTCTGAGGGTATCCGTGTTAAACTGTGGCATGGTATTTCAGCATGGTGAAATCGGCATAAGTCAAGACTAGTACACGCACCGCACCGCACCGCACCGTCACGCAACGCAACGCAATGCAACTCACACCTACATGCCTGTTGCTATATATGTGCAATAATCTTCAACGTAATGTTAGGCCTATTTAACCTCACTGTTGCACTGGTCTTCAGCAACCCATGCTTGCCGTAAAAGGCAACCAACAGGATCGGGTGGTCACGCTCGCCGACTTGGTTGAAGCATGTCATCATATCACAATGAATCGATGTTCATGATGTCAGGCAGTGAATTGTCTGGTCCAGACTCCATTATTTACAGACCACTGTCTTATAGCTGGAACATTGCTAAGTGCGGCGTTAAACAACAAACAAACACTGTTGCACTGAAGTCAAGAACCTCAACCCCTGTGTTTATCAGTGTTTCGATTGTCAAGTCTACAATAGTTCTTTGATTAGTAGTGAGGCAGTAAGAAGCCATTTGTATGGATGACAACTTCTGTATTTCCTATTTGGTCTTCGATAGGCATTTGGGGGCACGGGTGGCCCAGTCGTCTAAGGCGCCGCAATTCGCTGTGCAGAGTTGCGTCCCTTGGGCACGCCAGAAACCTATGATTGTGGGTTCGAATCCCGGTTCGCCCCGATTATGTTTCTAGGTTTGTCAGCACCATACCCGTGCTAGTGGGTTTCACCGAGGTGGTTAACGTCTGAGACCTGCATCACTTCGGGCTTTCCTCCCACATAAGCTGACATGCCGTGATATAACTTGAATACTGTTAAAAGCGGTGTTAAACCCAACTCACTCACTCACTCACTCGATAGGCATTTAGAAGTTGAAGACATGAAACCCTTATGGATAACAACTGATGACAGGGCAAGAACTTGCCCTGAAGCATCGTTACAAATAAGGAATACGTTATCCATAAATGCTTCATGTCTTCAAGGTCTTGTTTTCTGCTATTACCTTAATCAAGCATGTCAAATGAAACCACACAAGTCATTTGTCTGAAGTAGTTTCAGGAGCCATAAGTTTGTGAACAGTCATGGTTTCAGCTCTGAATAAATATTTTTACACAATTTTTGGGGACAGTAACAAGAACTATTCATAACACCTGTTTCACAATACCTGTGGTTCAGTGTGGGGTTGAGGGGGTTCCAATTAGAACATTGTACAAGGGTTGGTCAAAACGTTCTAAGCCTAACAAACAATTGTGAAAGTGTTTTTAATTTTGTTTTGCAACATAATCTCCATGCTTTTCAATACACTTCTCATATTGATAGTGAAGCTTTCCAATTCCTGTCAGGAAGAAGTTTTCTGAAACACACTGAAACAAACATTCACGGCAGCTTTGACGTCATCGTTGTCGTCAAAGCGCTTTCCACGAAGGTGTTCTTTCAGTTTTGGAAACAGAGGGAAACACTTGGTGCCAGGTCTGGCGAGTATGGAGGTTGAGGAAGCTCTTCAAACCAACATTGTCGCATAGTAGTCTTTGCAAGTCGACGGGTGTGAGAAGAGGCATTGTCATGAAATAGTAGAACTCCATCAGTCAGCATTCCTACCCGCTTTTCTTTGTTAGATAGACTCTGTCAGGCTGTGAAGCAAATCAGCACAGAAGGCACCGGAAATCGTCTTTCGACTTTCTAAGTAATCAACATGGATCACACCCTTTGCATCTCATCCTAGAGTACAATGGACCTAACTATCTTGATGATGACTTGAATTTCTTTGGTGCTGGAGAAGTGGAATGGTGCCATTCCATGGATTGATGTTTTGACTCAGGATCATAGTGGTAGACCGATGTTTTATCACCCGTAACTAACCTCCTTTAAAATGTGATCCTCCTCAATTTGAATCCTCCTCAATTGACTCTAAATTTTCTAAAATATCAGTTCCTTTTTCCTTAAGATCAGAATTAAGAAACTTTGGCACCCAATGAGAAGATATCTTATTCATCTGTAAATGTTAATGAATAATAGTTTCAATGGATCCATGGCTTAGACCTGTGTCTTCCTCAATATCAGCTATGGTAATACATCTATCTGACAGTGTAAGTTTTACTATCCTTGATGGAAGTTGAGGGACGTCATCATCAAGGCTTGTTCTCCGAGCCTTAGACATAGCTGCCCAATGTTTAACAGTGGAAAGCTAGGGCACTCATGCCCATACTATAGTGACATGCAGTCATGAATTTCTTGCGGAGTACTTTTCTCTAAAGTCAAAGACTTGATGACTGCTCGGTACTCGTTCTTTTCCATTTCTGTGTCCATTTGGACCTCTATCACCCTAAGGGGCGGTCGGATAGCTGAGTGGTTAACGCGTTCGCTCGTCACGCCGAAGACCCGGGTTCGATTCCCGACATGGGTACAATGTGTGAAGCCCATTTCTGGTGTCCCCAACCGTGATATTGCTGGAATATTGCTAAAAGCAGCGTAAAACCATACTAACTCACTCACTCACTCTATCACCCTAAACTTGCTGTCACTGATACACAAACAGCCTCAACGGACCAAATACACTTGCAATGTACTACTCAAACAATGTATTACATTGACAAGTTCACTTTGTTATGGCAGTAATTGAAAGCTAGTCAGGCTTGAAACATTTTGACCAGCCCTTTTACAGAATATGTGTTAGTTTACATTATGTTTATTATTAGACAATATATATATGCTTTGTTGCACATGTTTTTTGCAAGGGAAGTATGCAATATCATCCGTGTGATGTGTGTAAGATATAAACAGTGGTAAAGATCTTTAACTCACAAGAGCTCAGAGTGTTTAACAACAATACTGCCATACAGACACCCTGATATTGATTCTCCTATGGACCTGATTGTTTGGCTGTTGGGATGGGGCTGTTGGGATGGGGCTGTTGGGGTATCTATGGTTTACAAGATAAAAATTATGTTTCCAGATTTCCGGGTTTTGCTAAGTATTTGGTGCCTGGAGATTTCATTTGGATCCAGCATTAGGCAGGGGTTTCAATTGTTAACATTTCTATGCATCAGATAATCAATATGAAAATGTGGGCTGTGGTTATATCTTTGGCGTTTTAATTACAGACTTTATTAGGTCAATACAAGTCTTTATCATGTTTATGGTCTTGATAAAGTAAAATTGACAGAAGATGAAGTCCAAGGCCAATATTGCTTATTTCGTGTTAATAAAAACCTCATGTAAAGTCTATAGTTTAACATGTATTAAAGAGACAAAAGCAAATTCAACATATCAAGCTATGCCAGCTCCAATAAGGTTTGGAGTTTCCAACAAACAGAGACATCTGATTGGCTTAAGTTTGGGGAATACCACTTCCAGGTAATTCCCACTCTATATTTTGAGTAATTCAAGTCAATAGTGTAAATTATCAGACCTGACTATGCGCTTTTGTCGAATGACACATGATAATATTTAATGGTCCTGAAATTCACTATTTGAACTCTCCAGCTATACAAGCTAAGCAGGCTTTGATTCAGTAAGGAGGCAATGTGCATAATGTTCCCACAGTGTCAGCTGATATCAAATGGACCTACACTTGACAAATACAATCACTTGAGATCCTGAGGCAAGACATGAGCATGAGAAGACATCTTCCCGGGGACAAGGGCGTTACCTCACTATAAAAGTCAAGTTTTCACCCTTGCGGAACAAGGCTGGAAGTTCCAGGCCTGATCGTAGTGTCATTAGTGTCATTTACGAGTTATGTCGCTTCTATGTCGCTCCTGTTGACCAATCAGAATCCATCTCTCATGTCACTTGCATTTGCATCAAACAAAATGGCAGCGCCTTGTCAAGACAATCCGATCGACAATCAGGATCTGGATTGTCATAAAACAGGTCTTACATCGCGAGGTGCTTCAAATTGCGTGAGTACCTTGATTAAAAACATGAAAAGATTTGCAAAATATCTGTTGACGCCCACTTGACAGTACACATGGTTTACAAACCCTGCAGTCAACCGAAATCTAACATGAATCAATCAAAGAGAGAGAATTGGTGGACGGGTCCCAAACACTTTATGGGATGGTTCTCTGTTGGGACTCTGGATTCGACTTGGTCCCAAGCAACCTATGTTGGTCTTAGAGGGGACTTAATGGATCGGGTTTTCAGGCACAGTGGCTTGGTTGATGCATGTCATTGTACACCTTCAAGGTGGATCATATGCTTATGATATCAATCACTGGTTTGTCTGGTCCAGATTTGATTATACGAGGGCTGGCTAAAAAGTTCTAAGCCTAACTGTGAAAGACCCGTACCAAGTCGATTGTTTTCATTTATTTCTCCACATTTACACACTTTTGCCACTGATGCTGCAAGGCCTGGATGACGGTCAAGAAGAAAGTTTCTTCAGCCACCCTAAAAAAGTCATTCACAGCGGAAATGACGGCATCATTACTAGGAAAATGGCGACCGGCTAGTTCCTTTTTCATTTTTGGAAACAGGTGGAAGTCTGACGGGGCCAAATCGGGTGAATAAGGGGGATGGTCAATGAGTTCGAAGTCACAATCATGGATCGC